CTTTCACAGTTTATCTACTCCCTTCATTAAAAGAATGTGCAACAATTTGTATGTGTCTAAATATTATACGGTAGCAAACTCAAGATAAATCTCCCTTCTGGAACAAGAGGAATATGTCTGTTATGCAGAGAGGCTAGGCAAGAATTCATGCTGCTTTTTTTTTTTATTTTTCTGATCTTCCTGTATATGTTTCTTGCTTTCCTCAATATATATAGATTTAGAATACATTAAAAGATAACTCCCCCCCCAACATTTTAAAGAAACAGTTCAAAGGGGAGAAATTTCAGACCACAAAGTAGAGTTAAATACAGAAATCCCAGGCATTTTCAATGGAATTTGGGTATCTAAATTCCCTGTCTGCCTTTTGGAAGTTTTTCTCTAAGAGAAAAGTTTATAGATAGTCCTGCTTCTCTCTGCCTGTTGTTCATAGGTCATGGTTTCCTGAGAGAAAGAAAAACTGAAAATCTTTATTTAAAACAATCATATTACAGAACCTGTCCCTTAACTCTTGAGGAGAAAAAAGCAAGGTTTGTGGGAATCATACAATAACCCTGCTTGCAGTTTTTGCTGGTCGTCTTTATCTGATCCAACAGCTTAAAATGCAACAAGATTCTTTTTTCCTGTGATTTAATCATGAGAATGGGGGGGGGGGGGGGATATAGATCAACAATTATTTTTTTATATATATATATACACACACACACACATATGTGGCCACTTCTCTTCTCTGAGTGTGGATTAGATTCTGCCATGTCAGCTAGGTTGAATGGTCAGCATGTTTCTAGATGAGCAAAATATCAGGGTTGCATTTAGGAACTAGAAAACAAATAAATATAACAAAAGAGAGAGAAATGAAGGGGGGGGGGGGGAGTAAAGCTCCAAATGATAATGAGTTGCCTCCTGGTCTCCTATCCTGTGGGAAAAATGTGACAATCTCTAATGCAGCAGCTTGTTTCTAAATGTTTTTTTTACACTTCAGCTTTGGGATCACCTTTAGTTTCCAGTGTCACTGGTTTTCTAATAACTTGGGGGAGTTTGTACTTGAGAATGAAATTCAGATCCAAAATGAAATTGTATCTATTTTCAGTATTTACAGTAATGATGGTAAAGATCTAAATACAGCTTTATAATTTTCTAAAGAGCTGAACCAGCAGCACAGTAGCATGAGTAGGTGATAAGGTATTAAACAAATACTTTAATGGGAGATTTGATAAGGCTCTTGGGGCATATTAAACTGAGGAGTGGGGTGCTGTTATTGGTTAAATTTATAACTGAACAGAAGTTATCAGAGGCTTATTAGTATTTGATATATGTAAAATATAATGGGACAGCTGCTTGGCAGGGTTATTTGCTTTCTGGTTCAATAAAACTATGATAGACAATTCCTGCTATAGATACTCATTAGCTTTGAGATAATTTCCTAATATCAAACACAATGAAAATCACTTGCTCTAGATTTGCTTTTCACCTGCATGCATAGAGTTGCAGTGAGGGAAGCAGCGTGCCCTGCCCAGGGCCCTGCATGGGCTGGGGAGGAGGCTGAAGAAGTCAGTGGGACTCCTCTCTACCTGCTGAGGTCTGTCTCTGCTCTGCTTCAGTCCGTGTAATGCTGTCCTGGAGTTTGAAGGTGGAGGGAAAGAGGTTTAGTTAGCTAGAAACCCTGGATCCTTTCTTGCAGAAAAGAAATAATTTCAAGTGTTTCCTTTCATGTGTGTGATTTCACAAAGTTTTAAATCAGTGTGGTGACACCGAAGTCATGGGAATTGGGCTGGTTTACACCCATTGTGGATGCAGCTAGCTAGTTAGCTTAGGATTATATTCTGCTTTCTTTTAAAGTGGTATGGAAAATTAGTAGAAATAAATAAATTAAAAAAAAAAAATCACACTACAGAGACAAAAATGGAGATTCATTTTCGCAGTGATTCCTATTTGCAGCACAGAGATTACTCTAGTGGCATTGTCAATATTGCACTACATCCGTGGAACAAGTGGCTTAATTACTCTCTGCCCTTGCTGGAGACTATATCCAGAATAGAGATGCATTTTTCTTAGCTAGATCATATGAGCAAAGACAAAGTGCACAGATTTTGTCTCCATTATTATCTTTCCTTCCCTCTCAGCATAAATAAGAAAAATTTCAGCTAGTGTCCAGCCATATGACAGTCCCATCTCCCCTCTCCTGAATCCACTTGCAGCTGCAAGAGTTAAATGTGGGGGGTCAAGTGTACCAGTCTAAGTGAATCCTTTACTTGTCTAAGTCCTACAAACTCACCCAGCAGCGTGCCTGCCTGTTGATCAGAGAGCTCAGGGAAAATGCCTTCTGTCTCTCCGACTTAATAAAAATGTTTAGAATATCCTGCTGGGAAATTGCTACTGTACCATTTGCTCAGCTGCAGATGGTGAATTGGCACATTCTGAACTTGGCCTTTTTGTGAACCTTGAGGTTTATCCTGGGAGGAACAGATCCTCTGCTTCAATGCAGTTATGTCAATTGACACCTGCTAACAGGCTGGTTTGCTGTAAACCCTGAACTTGTGGATTACTGTCCTCCTCCTAAAGCCACCCGTGCAACTGCTCGGGTGTTCCTAATCCAGGATGAGGCCAGCAAGGGTTTGAAGCAAATCCTTCTTGCACACTGTGAATTTGGCTTTTCCTACCCAGGTGGGAAGCAATGTATCTCTTGTTTTGGCCACAAAAGCAAGAGAAGAGAGGACTTGAAATTGTCTAGATCTTGCCTACACAGGGGCATTTTACCAGAGTTTTCTCACAGCTGCTGCCAGGGGCTCAGATTCACACTGACACCATCCTGAGTGTGGTCCCCATAGCAGAGCACCTAAGGTCAAGGCAAAGGACAGGAGGGAAACCAGATGGAAAAATGACTTGTTCATGCTGCTACCCAGTTGCGTTAGGATGGGGACCCATGGAGCTTACACAGTCTGAATAGCCCTAGGTTCATGGCCCTGTGTGATTCAGGTCACCCGATGCTCTAATCACCCAGCTACAGATGCCGTCTCTCCAAGTCCCAGGAAATATTTAATTAGCTGTACAATGCAGAAGCAGCTCCCAAAGGAAAATTCCTCTGCAAAACAGCCATCAACTTCGTGCTAAAGTACCCACGGGGGCTGGAGCATAGCCGGGTCTGAATCCCAGGCCTGGAACAAAGGGAAAGGATCTCCTGCTCTCACAGTGCCCTGGCATAGCCCTCTCCCTCCCGTTCTGACCCAGGGGAATCTTTCCCAAAGCAAGTTTTGTCAATATAGACACATTTCCACAAAAAAAAAAGAAAAAAAAGTTAGACTTGCCAGAGTGAAACTTTGCAAACTAGTTCTCTCAACTCTTTCTAAACTGTGAGTAACAGCAAAGATCAGGTTTCTTGCGATTTTGACCAAGCTAAAATAACAAGACCTCCTTTTTGTGGTGTACCTTGGAGAGGATCTCCATGAGGGCAGTTCTAGTGGCAGTGAAACAGGCTTGTTGACCACAGGAGCAGTTTTCCAGGGCAGGGAAACATCCACTCTAAATCTCTCACGTGTCTGATGTCTGGGCACCAGTCCCACCACCGTGGGCGCCCTCATGTCCATGGCAGGGCTGCAGCATGGCTACACTTTGTCCCCCAGCTTGGGACAGCAGTGCCTGCTTCTGCCTGCACCCAAGCCCACTCTGGGATGGCCCTGCACTCTCTGTGCTGGATTTGTAGCACAACAGGACAGTGCCTTTCTCTCCCTTAACCAAGGATACCTCTGGCCCCAGACAGCATCACTTGAAAACACACAGGGGAAAAAAACCCATAACCTAACCTGCACCTTTCTCCCCTGCATCCAGCCATGGTCCACCCAGCTACTGGGATTTTCAGGGAATAGGTGCTAGAAAACCAGCAAGCATCACTGCACGCCAGGTAGCCCAACTGCAGAGCAGAGCATGCCGGCCCATTGAAGGGACAGAATGCGGACACTCCAGAGACTCACGAGAAGTAGTGATGAAGGTTATTTTGCAAACCTGGAAAGAATGGAATGAGGCGTTTGTAGGAGAAACTTTCCTTTTCTTGCTTCATTTCTGGCTAGGGATATTTGGGGTTGGCTCTTAGGCCTTTTTAAAGCCTCAGTTCCTTCTGCTATGACACAGCTAAGCTGGATTCACCCAGCCATCCTCCAGATTCTTAATGGTGGTCACCGCACTGCATGGAGTCCTAATGCTGATGGACCATTTGCACTGAAACAGTCTTTCATGCTGGAGAAGGAGACTCAGACTGGCCAGCATCAGCTCTGCTTTGCAAGCCCCTGGAGAGAATGATGGAGACCAGCCACGCTACCTTGTGGCCCTTAGAGATGATCCCTTCAGTGGGAACACCAGAAAGTTTAATTTTGGCCAGGACCACCCCTACGCATACCCCCACTCCACCACTGTGTAGTGCCCGGCAGGATGGGGAGGACAAGCATGTTTGTACTCAGCCATCACCATAATATGGCCAAGAGTAGAGCATGGATAGCCAGAGCTGGCACCACAGCAAAACAAGCAACCATGATCTGGGGGGGATGCTGCTGGGACACACACCATGAAGGAGCAGTGGTGTGACCTCCTCTTTCCTTCAGCATGGTCCCACAGGGAGAACAGTGCTGGCACATGGTCCAGCTCCTGGGGCTGGGGGCAGCACTACCCTGAGTTAAGCCAAAGAGCAGTTTAGTAGGGTAAAAAGCAAGGCTGGGGAAAGAGGAAAGCACGAAAAAAAAAAAAAAAAAGGGGGGGGGATTGGTATGAAGGGCAGCTGTGCAGAGGAAAGCAAAAGGAGGCAGCAGCAAGGTTGCAGCCCAGTACAGCTTTGCTGGGGGGAATGGGGAAGGAGAAGGCACTATGCCAGCTCACAGGGAGCAGTGAAGGGAGACAGGGGACAGACCAAAGGTGCCTGCAGCCAGGAGACAGGCAGGCTGCAGGTGCTGAGAGAAGAGTCCTGGGATGCCAGGCATTCCCCAGGCCCCTCTGCCATCACCCCCTCCCTGCTGACACTGTCTCTGTCTTCCAGGTCAGTGAATAATTTCCTGATGACAGGCCCTAAGGTAAGAGAAATCCCTTTAATCTCTATCCCTGATTCCACTAAACCCAGGGAGGGAGAGGCTCCTCCTTCCCACTCCTCTCCATCCAGCCTCAGCCAGAGCTCCCCTCACCCCCAGGTTTCCAGCAACAAGGCAGAGGAGAGCCAGAAATACCTGCTGTGAGCCACAGCTCCTTGATCTATGTCAGCTCTGAGCAAAGTTGGCCTGAGGTTCTTTTAAGCTGGCTGGGGCCAGATTTTTGGAGATTTGTCTATTGGCACCAGTTGAGGCTCTCACCTGTCATCTATTGCTTCCTGATGATCAGGTTAGCATCAGGATCCACATTCACTGAGCTGAAAAGGTACTTTCTGTAGGTCCTGCAAATCATACTTCCCCCAAGGAACACAAATGGAATTGCCAGGACCTTCTTCAGTATTTTTGACCCCCCCCCTTTTTGCACCCCTCTTTCAGAGGCTTTTTTTCCTAGCCAGGACCAGTTGTAAAATTCACCTGATTTTTGTTCTGGCTATTTCCCAGGAACATCTCCAAGCCCATCTAGCTCTTTCTACAGCTCTTAATGCTAAGGTGGAGTGACCTTGCCCCAAAGCAGTGGCTGTCCCCCTGGAGCTGCGGTGAAGGAGGAGGCAGGCTGAGGCACCTGCTGGCCTGGAGCTCCCCAGTCTCTGAGGAGAAGGCTCTGCCTCCTCTCGCACTGGCGAGATAAGGGGTTCCCCATTGCAGGGGCTGGCTGGCACATCTCTTAATGTGGCTAACAGCCAACAGCTCAGCCTTCTCCCCCAGGAGGCCCAGGCTCTGACCCAGCACAGCAGAAAATGCATTTGCTGCTGCTGCTGGTGGTGAGCTCCACTCCCCAGGGGAGCCAGGCCTGAGAGACCTCAGTTCTGTACATCTCGTCTCTGTAAGATGGCATGCAAGTTATTTTCAGTTGAACGCCAGCCTCCTGGGGAGCCTGGGGCCATGTTCTTCCTGGTGTTTTGCACTGTGCATCTCCATCCATCTAGACCCCAAAGCAGCAGGACCCACAATATGCAATGCAGGGCAGGAAAGCTACACCTGCATCAGCCCCTCTGCTGTGTGGGAAGCCGCTGGGGCTACACCAGCTTTGCACTGCCTGCGATAGAAACTAGAGCTGCTGAGTGACTCCCCTGGACCCTAGGAGTAGCCTGGGGACATTCCAAGTCTGTCACCCGTGGGGTTGTCCCTGTATGCCGGCCAATGAGTCCTGCCTCCGTTTTGCAAGTTAATGCTGAGGGGGCTGAAGTGGGGCACACACCGTCTCCCCTTCCTGACCTGCTCCTCTGCTCCTAGGCCTATCTCATCTACTCCAGCAGCGTGGCGGCTGGGGCACAGAGCGGCATCGAGGAGTGCAAGTTCCAGTTTGCCTGGGACCGCTGGAACTGCCCAGAGAGGGCACTGCAGCTCTCCAGCCACGGCGGGCTGCGCAGCGGTAAGGAAAGCATTGGATACCACTACTGGGACCCCCTCACTACATGTTAGAGCCCATGGGCCCCTCTTCTCTTCCCAGGTGCCTCCTTTTCTTCCCCATCCCCATCTGGGATGTGCCTCTTTGAGGAATGCCCCAGAGGGATCGTTCCAGGAGGCCCCTTCACCCATCATCTCCCAGACACACGCTGGGATCCAGCTTCAAGACAAGGCAGCCTCACAATGCCAGGATAGCCTCCAGACCTGCCGAGCCCCAGCTTGCGCAGGACGGGAGTGTCCCACCAACCCTCACACAACTGGCTCCCTGCAAGGATGCACCACCACAACCTGTGGCATGGGCTGCTGGACATGCCATGCCTATGTGGTGTCTCTTGCCAGGATGTCCCAGGGAGGCTGAGAACCAGCACAGGGTGGTGGGGCGGCAAGCAGAGGGATATGGCCAAAGGAAGCAGGAAAGAGCTTATCAGTGGCTGTGCTCTGGCCAAGAGGCAGGAGAAAAGTCTTCCCACAGCTTCCAGATGTCAGGGTCACCTTGGGCGGAAATCCAGCATCCATGACCTGTGCCACTGCAGGGCATGGAGCTGTGGTCATTGTCACTGTATCCCATTCCTTGCCCATTTGCAGGTGCCAGGAAACGTTTTGGTGCATACCTGGTCCTCTAGACCCATGTACGGCATTGGGCTGAGCTCATACCTGCCCTGTACAGGCAGGACCTGGGTATGGAGGAGAGCCTCAGGCCTCTAGTAGGACTGGCAGCAGATGAGGGACCAGGGTCCCAGGCAGAGGTGGACAGAGGTTTCAAAGTGGGGCCTTGAGGAGGCAATTGCAGGACGAAGTAACACTCTGGGACTGGGAGCGAGTCCCTGAAGCATTCCCATCAAGGTTATCTGCTCAGATACCTTGCTGGTATTAAATGAAAGCCAAAGGCTCAGTGAAGTCCACTGATGATCACCACACTGGTCCTGGTGGGTAGGTATGGTCCCTGCTCTGAGCCCTGGACAGTGTCCAGCAGAAGGTAAGGCTCGAGGTGGCTATGAGGAGGGAGCTCTTTAATACTTGGAGAGAGCCCCTTCCCCTCTGGGGTCTATTAGCACGACATGGGGGATATTTGGCTGTCTGTGCTGTATCCCCACTGCTGAGCTCCCACAAGGACAGCCAAGTGCTAAACTCATCTACACCCTTGGAAATGGCATGACTCAGTCTGGATCGGGGAGCTTCTGCCTTCATGCAAGCCAAAACTAACCTAATCTGACATGTTGGGCCTCCTCTCCACCCCACAAAGCCCTGCCCATTGCAAATCTCTTCTTATGCAGTCTCCTGCATGGCAGGAGTTGTTTCTAACACTGGTCTCGCCATGAAATCTTTAGCACATCTGCTCTCCTTGTATTCCCACTTGACAGCAAACCGAGAAACCGCTTTTGTCCATGCCATCAGCTCTGCGGGTGTCATGTACACGCTGACCCGGAACTGCAGCCTGGGAGATTTTGACAACTGTGGCTGTGACGACTCCCGCAACGGACAGCTGGGTAAGGAGAGATGAGCTGCCATCCCTCTCTCACGTCCCAGGTGGCAGGAGACAGCTCCTCCTCTCCCTGTCCCCCTCCCTCTCCCCTCCAGAAACAACTCCTCCTCCTGGTCCCTGCACCTGAAAATAATGCCCAGAGCAGAGCTTTGCCTAGCTCAAACCAAAGTAGCTCTATGGAAGCTAATGGGGCCACCTCCAATTTACACCAGCTGAGGCTGAGCCCTTGGTGTTTTCCATTACTTTCTCAATGAGTAGGAAAGTAGAAGGGGGTTGCAGTTTCCCTGTTTCAAATCAAGAACCACTCTGTTTAAGCTGCTGGAGGGAATGACTGTATCATACTGGCAGAGGAGAGAATCTGATGCTGAATATCTAAATGGCAGGTCTGGTTAGAGCAGTACTGATCAAGCACCTCAGGGCTTTCAGGGTCTCCAGGACCAGGGTGGACCCAGAGCAGAATTACCAGGAGGGAAAGTAGGGTGGCATTCATAAACCCCTCCAGCATTTGTCAGCATGGCAGGTGCATGAGAGCTCAACCAGGAGAACTGCTGTGGCAGCACACAGCCTTCACCCCGTTCCTGACGCAGCAGTACCCAGGCCCACAGCCACTAAGCATCCCTGGGTGTGGAACCCAAGGCTGCACCACTCCAGTTCTCTGCTCGGCTTTTACAGAAGACATTGACATTTTGGTCTTTTGTTTTGAATGGAAAGAGGCCAAATTTCAAATTATCAAAATCTTTTAAAAGCCGTTCGCCGCCCAGCTGCACTGGGCAGTCGGTACATGTTAGTTTATGACAAACTCCTCTGGAGTGTCCAATATTTAGTAATCTGCTTTATTGGCTAATAGTTTTTAAAACAGCCACTGCTTCTTAGGTGTCGGAGGCATGGGATAGCCCATCTCTAGCAGAGCTAGACTTTTGGGCAATGACACACCCAATATTATCTTCTCTGGAAAACTGAGTTACTCATGCTACACTTCTTTTCCCCCAAACATATCTGTTTTTCATGAAAATTTTCCACTGTGAACTTAAAATCTTGGAAGGCAAAGGAAAATTTTGAGCTTGTCTAGAACAGTGTGGTTCAATTCTAAATTACATTGCGCTGAATCCAAGTTGGTGAAAGGTTGCCATTCTGCCTTCAGTCCCAGCTCTTGATATGGACTTCATCATCCTCTGCAGTTACCCACCTCCCATGAGACACCCCAGCCTTTCCCTGGAAGAGGGGACCGTGATCCTCTGGGGAAGTCCAGGCAGGAGCTGGGCCTTTCAAGAGAGGCACAAGGCCATTAAACTACAACTCCCAAGATGTACCGCCAAGGCACGTTAGGGTCAGAATGTTCCAGATTTCAAAACTTCAAAATGAATTTGACATTTTTCTCTAGGAGGAAAAGAAGCAAACCGCATGACATGTTTCCAGTCAGCCAAGCTAAGTTTTCAAGCTCCCATGCAGTTAGGAAAAGTACCCTCTACATCTTTCTGTGCATTCTCCCAGTTCTGTGCTGACTTCTTTGTCTCTTTGTGATAACTGGAAAATCAGACCCTTCTGAGATGCTCAACATCATCCCAGGATTCTGTGTGTACCAAAAAGAGGGCCTCCTCAATACATGTGTGCTGGGCTTGGGTTGTTTCCCAGAGGAGGGGAATCTGTTCCCTCTGACCAGGATACCTCCACCAGTTCACTAATCCATGTTAGCAAGATGCTGCCCCTGCGAGTTAGACTGAACCAGTTCAAGTCAGGGTTTGAGGGAAGGTGAGTAAAGACCCAACGCTTTATCTATATGGCTGCTAATGCATGATAATTAACAGCTTCTGAATCCTGCTCTACAGAGAGCCTGGAAATCCCTGGGTTTGTCCCACAGGACATACCCCTTCCCTGCCTGAATGAGTCACTATCTAGGCCTCAGTAGAAATGGCATGAGCCCAAGGGGAGGGAATCAGGGAATATTGCGAGGTGAAAGGCTGGACTTGCCCCACAGCCTCCATTCCCTCCCATCACTTCTGAGACCCTTTCTTGTCCGCAGAGCCATAAGCCAGGCATGTGAGGGGCTGGTTCCCTGACAGCACACATCTCATCTCCTTTCCTAGGGGGGCAAGGCTGGCTGTGGGGAGGCTGCAGTGATAACGTGGGCTTTGGGGAAGCCATTTCCAAGCAGTTTGTGGATGCCCTGGAGACTGGACAAGATGCCAGAGCTGCTATGAACCTGCATAACAATGAGGCGGGTAGAAAGGTAAGCCCTTCTCTCCCTCCAGACCTGACAGTGCATACCAGATTGGCTCTGGCCATTCACTGTGGAGAGTCACAACTTGCTGTGGCTAAAAGCACATGTCCAGAAAAAACAACTACCATGCTGAGGAGAAGGGGATGGCAGTAGTACTGACGTGATGGGTGGTGTTTGTTCTAAGGTAGCAAACCTTCCATGGTCACATTGTTAATGGCTTCCTGCTGTCCTCTTTCTCCCGGTTCAAGTAGGGGAGTACTGTGGAGAAGCAAATCTGTGAGCTTTAAGCCAACAACCCCTGGGCAGGACTACTGCACAGGGAGGGTCAATGGCAAACCCCTCTACAGGCGTGGAGCCATGTTTCTCCATGCACTGCAGCACAGAAATGACCCCTCTGGGCTTTTTCCTGAATCCCCTCTCTCCTCACACTCTAGGCCGTGAAAGGAACCATGAAGCGGACTTGTAAATGCCATGGCGTGTCAGGGAGCTGCACTACCCAGACCTGCTGGCTGCAGCTGCCTGAGTTTCGGGAGGTGGGCACTTACCTCAAGGAGAGGTATCACAAAGCCCTGAAGGTGGACTTGCTGCAGGGGGCAGGGAACAGCGCTGCCAGCCGGGGTGCCATCGCCGAGACCTTCAGCTCCATCTCCAAGAAGGAGCTAGTCCATTTAGAAGACTCTCCTGACTACTGCCTGGAGAACAAGACGCTGGGGCTGCTGGGCACGGAGGGCAGGGAATGCCTGAAGAGGGGCAAGGCGCTCAGCAAATGGGAGAAGCGGAGCTGCCGGCGGCTGTGCGGGGACTGTGGGCTGGCAGTGGAGGAGAGGCGAGCCGAGATGGTGTCCAGCTGCAACTGCAAGTTCCACTGGTGCTGTGCCGTGCGGTGCGAGCAGTGCCGCAAAAGGGTCACCAAGTACTTCTGCGTCCGCAAGGAGAAGCGGGAGCGGAGCGGGCGTGGTGGGGCCAGCCGTAAGCTCAAGAGAAAGCTCTAACTTGCTTCTGCTCCTCCATGGCCCTTTCTGCTCCTCTGCTCTCCTGCCCTCCCCATCAGCCCGTGGCAACATTTCCCTTCGGCTTAGTTTTGTCTTGATCCCAATGCTGCCTCACTGGGGCTGGGGCAAGGCAAAAGAGCTTGCATGAGCCCCTAGACCTTGGCCATACAGAGCATTTCCCATTAATGCAGTGGGTCATGACCTCTGGGAAGACCCTCAAGTGTTGACAAAACAAGGTGAGATTTGGTCCCCTCAACTCGGACTCTATCCAGTGACTATGGTTTTATTGCTGAAAACACAGGTGGTCTTGGTGGCTCCTGCTCTTTTGAGTTTGTCTATTCCCCGAACAAGCACCTGCTCTGGGGTTTTTAGTAAGTGAGATCAGCACTTAGGAAAGCACAAGGAGATGGCACCACCACCAGAGTTGGGCAACTCAGAGTGGTAATCCCTAAAACAGGAGACGCTTCTAGTACCCTAAAAAAATAGAGGCACTAAAATAAACTTCGTTGCTTTTTATTAAGCCCTACTCTGTAAGGGAATAGAAAAGGTGTGCAACTCCTTCCCGCAGCAAGCCAACCTCCAGGAGGCCCACAGTGTCACTTCCCATTCTTTGACAGCTTTGCTAAACTCTCCAGTGCTTTACTTTGCATTCGGGATGGCAGCAGGAACACTGAAGCTGCTGCTTGGCCTGCCCATTAAACAGCTGTCCAAAAGAGGAGTCCCATCAATTGCTTTTTTTATGCTTTCTCCGTATCTTCTAAGCCTCTGGGTCTGGTCTCCCTCTTCACCTCAGCTTCCCTGCCAAAGCCCTTGACTGATGCCATAAAGATGCCCTTACACTTCTCCAGTCCCTCTTTCCTCCCAAATCTCTCCCAGAGAGGAGCTGCCAGCTGAGCCCATTCTCCACCTCCTGGTGTACTTGCCAAGCACTCTTCCCCTGTCAGCTAACTAACTAACTACTTCCTCCTAGTCTGAGAAAATAAAGTCAGTTACTATTTAATGGTGGTGTAAATAGGAAAGTGAAGCACTTTGAAGTTTAATTTATTGCACAGTTACTGTGATGTATACATAACAGTTTTTCCTCTACCGCTTATTGTATATATTCTATAGGCTAAGCAAGCAGCAGGAAGATTTGGTTGATGCATCTCTGTTCCCTTGCCAGGGTTGGGGTAGGGAGGGAAGAAGCTGTCAGCTGCAGGACCTGGGGAAGCTCACTGCACCATCACAGTGATCTCCCCCAGGCTGTGAGGTTATCGTCTGCTTTGCTGTTTGAAGTGTCCTTTAGCAACATGAGAAGCCCGTAGAGCTGTGTTACTGGTCATTAGACCTGTCTTGTAGCCAATATTTGTAAACCAATAGCCAATGCAATAAATCAGTAGCTAAGTGCTTGCAAAAGGCTGTTGTGTCTGAGTAGTTGGGTATTTTTTTTCATCCAATTGTGTGTGTGGATGTATGTAGTTACAGTTCTGGAGACTAAAACCCAGCCACTTACTTACCCATCTGTCAAGCATAAGAAGAGCTGACCAGTTCCCTCCACGCAGCACAACCTTGGCCCCTACCAGGAGGGGAAAGGGCCTGCTCTCTCCTTGGGCTTGCTTAACAATGCATCCAACTGCAGTGCAGCTGCCAGGTAGAAAGGGGGTGGCAGAGGGGCAGACAGGGGCCCAGTTGCCCACTTCAGAGATGACACATTAAAGACACTCAGCAGCTTGTATGTGTCTTTTAGTTTTCAGATAGTCCCTCAACTCTAGGACTACTTTGTTGGGGGTGGAGATGTGGACCTAGGGCAAGCTGGGGTCTCACCAGAGCAAGAGCATTCATGTCAAGCAGGAATCTGGCCCTTCAGAAATTGCAAGAAACAATCTTGACCTATTCTCAGGGAAATCCGAAATACTTCCACTTCACACGCAAACCACCAGCTGTTTGCGCAAAGGTTCTTATTAATACAGTGACCCTGCCCACGGTCTCCCTTGCACCTCTGTCAGCAGTTCCTCAATCTTCCTGCGATGGGAATGCATCCTTGGGCAGGAAAGCAAAGAGGTGGTGAGAGCCTCTCACCCAGCAGGAAAAGCTCCAGCACAGGCTGGCTTGAGGACCACTGCAAAGCAGAGAGGACAGCTTCTACCCCCTTGTCCCTCTGTCCCCCCACCATTCCATGGCCAGCTGGAAATGCAAGAAAAGGAGAAGATGTGGAAGCTGTTTCCCCATTTCCTCCCCTTCCTCAGTGCATGGCAGGCTGTGCTACCCCGTCCCTCCCTGCTGACATTATTGCCCCATGCAGTTGTCCCATGAAGGCCGTGGCAGAGCCCAGGATGTGCCCGCTGGGCACAGTGACATGCGGGGAACATTACAAGCGTGAGCCCCACCACCACACGCTTCTTTCTCTGGGAGAAAATGGCGACACCGCAGCTGCAAAATGTGCTGACCTCAGCAGCGGGTCGGGCCCGGAGGGGTCCCCCCGCCCCGGTGCAAGGAGCCCTTAGTGGCAAAGGCCCTGCTGCCATTGTGCGGCAGGATTGGATGCTTCCATGTATTCATTTCGGTTTAATGAAGGCGCATTCCTCAGAGGAGAAATATTTACATTCAGCTTCCCAGGTGGTCACCTTCGCCCAGATGACACACAAACAGGCAGCCCCCCGCTCCCTTTTCCAATCCAAACCTCTTTAGAGGGCTCAGGGAGGAGGGGAGCAAGGGGAGGGGGGCTGCTGGGGGAGCAGAATAGAGAAGGGAACAAAATGCTAATAAATCAGCCAGCCAGCCCTTTTCCCCTCCCCTCTGTGGAGTCAATGGAAAGTGTCATTTCACATGCTAATCCCCCTCCGCTCTCTTCACAACACCTTTTCCGAAAAGTGTTTGGGAAAAGTCCTTGTGGCCCGTTTACAGCTCCCTGCCGCTTCGGATTCCTTCTTGTCTAAGGCCGTGGCCCCGTGTGGGTCTCTCCCTCCAGCAGGGCTCCTTACAAAAAAAATCTCAACAAAGACTTTGGAGTTCATCAGCCTCCCACTGAAATTCACAGCTGCTGAACAAACTAATCCCCTCTCTTGGCCTTTCTTCCTTTCAATGGGTTCTTGGCTTCAAAGACACTTTGGGAAAGGACTTTGTGGGGACTCACACTGCTCCCTCAATAGAAGTTAGTGCAAGCATTATCTGCAGAGCAAGTGGCTTTACAAACAAATACTGCCTAACAATCTCTGCCCCTCCAGCTCCCCCAAACACACACAAGCCTAGCCTGCAGACATGATGTTATCTGCAACAGGATTAGAGCTCTGTTCTCTGTGCCCAGAGATCCTTTCCTACTGCCCCCTCAATTCTTTGTCAACCCAAAGGCCTTCTTGCCCAACAGAAAATGTTTTCTCTGTCAAGAGGCGCAGGGATGCTGTGGTAGCATGTGCCCACATGGGAGGAGGCACCGCCAAGGAGCCACTGTCCAGAGACCAGAAGCTGTTACTAGCCAGCACAGCTAGTGCTATAAATGGAGGAGCACTTTCCAGTGGGGATTGTGAGGGCATATACTGCACCAGGGCCCCAGCAACAGGGCTTCCACCACAAGCCTCTCAAAGACCCTCGAGTGGGTCACCTCGCTTCCCCCTGCCTGGTGTCCCTAACAAGAGTTTTAGGGACAGTGCTTGCTGGGATAAACCTGAAGCAAAACTGAGCAACAGCGGGACAAATGGGCAAGCAGGAAGGACTCGCAGCAAAGGCAGAATAAATAGCCAGTCTCTGTATGAGTCCATAGGTAGCGGGAGCTGTGCGTGCTGGAGGGAACTAAAGTCAAATGCATCTGAGAAATACATGGAAAAATCTGTGCTTATTTCTCAGTGGTACAAGTGGCCTGAGTTAAAGAAAGAGAGGGGCTGGAATGCACAGGGTACTTACTGTAACTGGCAGAATCTAAGAAATACCAGGTTTGTTAAATGATCTCAGAAAGCTAGGACTTCCCTTATATACTCGTTAAGCAAATGTACGCCTCCGGGGCTACCTGCTCACTTGTGCAGCATCAAAAGGGGTCATAACACAAGTGCTGCCTTTGAAAATCAGCTTGCATCTTCCTGATGGGGGACAGCTGGGAGGCCAAGCCAGTTGCTAACTGCTCCCAGACCAGGCTGCAGAAGCTCTGCAAGACTCCCTTACACTTGGTGTTTGCTTCTGCCAGCAGCAAAACTAACAAAGGCCGGTTTTCCCTGAATGTGTGTCCTGTGTCCATAACACCCTAGAGCTCTCATAAACCCTGGTACCTTCCCAGCAATGGCCCTTCAAAACTTCCCCATCCAATCTTTCTCAACCTTTACTTCCCCCCCAAGTCCTCCAACCACAAGCCAGGTAATACAGTCTTGCACATTTCAGTCTCATGTGTGCTGACTGGCTGGCCTGTACATATATACTAGCTAGCGAGCTGACAGCAAAAAGAAAACCAAAGTTTGAGATTACATCAGTTTTTTTGCAGAAGCTAGTTTGATTCCCCCCAACTTTATTTCAGTACCGATGTTTCACTTCAGCCTTCTTACCTCCTTAAAGGCTTACATGAAGTCAGCCAACAGATTCAGAAGTTACTAACTAATGGTAAGAACTGACAATTCAATGCTGTAAATCTGATTTCCACACAGGTCAGATCCTCATCCTAGTTTAAGTGGCATGGCTTCAGTGGTGTAACAATGATTTCCAACAGGAGAGGATCTCATCAAAGGCTCTCTGTTTACTTACTGACTGAACAGTCACAACTGAGGCGGGTGGTCTGAAGATCAGTTCTCTGACCCTGCAGCCTTAGGGAGTGGACAAGGCCTAAGGTCTCACCACACCAGGACAGCTGCTGCCCACACCAGCAGAGCCCAGAATCTGGTTTTCCCCACATCATTCTGAATTGCTCCCCTCACCGAAGCTGAGAACTCAGCTCTCAGTAGGTGGCCCTGCAGACTGAGGGAAGTCCCCTGTAGCCAGAGGTGACAAGCCTATGAAAAAAAGCTAGCAGCATCACAAAACACAGCTTTTATTTCACTGTTCTGTAATCAGTCAGTGCATCAAACCGCAGCAATAGAAACAACACAGCAGCAACAAGGAGGCACTTTGACCTGGAAAGGAGAGAATGAGACATGTCCTCTGCCTCCCTTCTCTGGTTCTCCTCCCTCCTAAGTCTCACGGTAGAGCAAGTCACTGTGTAAGTCACTGAACCACAGGCCCACAATGGCACTATCACTCAAGCAGCAAGCAGAAGAAGCAGGGGCTGGCTGCAGCCAAATGTTGGGAAGAAGCCTTGCTCCCAGCTAGGGCCCAATGATTACGCTGCCTGGTTAGCATGAAAAAGGGTGAGAGAGGAAGGCAAGGAGGGAGGAAGAGTGGGACACACACACACACACACACACACACACACAGATATGCCTTAAAATCTTGTCTGTCTTGCCACACTTCTTCCCCAGGACAGATACGCTTCATTCATCTATTTTACCGCAGAGGAAATGCCACAGTGATGAAAAGCTTCAGCACAGCCATATCCTCGAGACCTGACAGCATCACCTCCTGCAGCATATTCCTACCACCATAGTGCCAAGGGGCCTTTGAGAATCACCTTCGCACATATCTGTTACTGTAGGCAGAATGAATGCACCACACTTGGAGCAATCAGCTGTCTCCCCCTGCTCAAGTCTGGGCTGGTCAGAGTAGCTCAAGAGGATTCTTTATGGGACCTGAACAATCCCTGCTGTTCTTAAACTGTCTGAAAAACCCAATGTAGGAAGCCTTTAGGTAACAGCAGTGGGCAAAAGGCCAACTTGCTAACACAAAGGAAGTGAAAAAGGCCAGAAGCCAGAGAAGGTGGCTTTTAGCCCAAAACAAGGATGCGACCAGCTCTGGGGAAGAGCACGCAGAGCAGTACAACCTGCTAGCATTCCTGAATGGGAGAGTCCCAGGAGCTAGAAAGGGGAATCAGCCCTGGGCCTGAAACATAAAGGGCTCAAGCCTGCAGCTTATGGGGGAAAAGATATAAAGGAGGGGGGATAGAGGGTAAAAAGGAGACTCAACTACGAAAAGAGAGGGCTGGGCGAAGAGATAGAGAAACAAAGCTAGCCCGGAGCAGGCTGGTAGTTAGCCCTAGTTGTAGCAGGATATGGGTACAGAGGGGTGAGAGGGTGAGTCAAGGATGAGAGTGAAAAGAAAGAAAGAACCAGAGGAGAGATCCTCACTGCAGCCCAATACAGCAGGGACACCCCAGCTTAGGTCCCAAGGGAGCCCAGCTATCACTCAAGCAATTTACACTGAAAAAAAAAAAAAAGCAAAGTCAGCCTGGGAAGGAAGGAGTTTCCCCTTTGTGCTGGGGATACAGGGAAGAGGGAGGATCTCCGTGCAACCTGGACAGCCTGAAATTGACATCTCTGGGCTGGGAAGCAGCCTCAGACTAGTTAAGAAAGAAGAGAGAGAAAGAACAGTCTCCAGGAGTCCCAGGCACCAGTGGGCTGTCTGGAGAGTGGATGGGGCCAGGCGTGCTGGCCCAGCACAGTTCCAGGCACTGGCACAGATTTATTTCTCCAGAGTCGGAAGGAGAGTCCACAACCTGCAGCACATCAACAGGTGAGGGAGTCCATCAGCTCTCAGTGTACACTGTTCCAGCTGCTCCACATTTTACACATTCAGCTTGCCAGCAATGGTCATGAGGACTTTCAGGATGGGCATGAAACCAGACACCTCACTGAAACTGCTGCTGCTCACCACTTGGGTGTGAACCAAGAGACCCTGTTGGTAGTTCCTAGCCTCAATGCAGCGGGCAATTTCATGAAGACCCATGAGGATGGCTGGAGAGAGCTGTGGGGAGGGAGCAGAAATGAGTCAGCATGCTCAGCACTGTAACACAGGCCCCCCTTCCTTCACACCCTTCCCTCCTGTTCCCCACCTCATCCTCACCAAACAGCACCTACGCAGTCAAGCACTGGCAGGAAGGATAGCCTGCTTTCTCCCTTGGTTTCCCAGCCTACAACAAACATTAATCTAATACCCAGGCTGGGTTACAGTGAATGCAGGTACTAAGTAATGATATTTCAGCATTAATTGAATATCTGATTTATCTGAGGAGGTCAAAGGTCCATCTAGCACAGAATCCTGTCTCTATTCAGGCCTCATATAGACACACAGGGAAAGGGTGTATGTTAAAAGGATTCTTCCCTTGATAGCTATCCCTCCAGCAACTGGCATCAGTAGCTTCAGAGTTTTCTAAGCCAGAGGTTATACTAGGTTCACACTCTACAACTACCCCCAGTTGCCCCTTCCCATCTAGAATGTGTCTATATGCCAGTATACTTTCTGGGGATAAAAGCACCCTGCAAATACCTCCCCAGTTTTTCCTTACACTATGTCTTGGCCAAGATTAAGGAAGAAGAGATAAGGCTGACTGGATTCAAGGTGCGTGGTAAGGTTTGGCACTCCCCTAGCTTTCTCAAGATGATATGTGCTCGTAACACCAGGACAGACACCAAGGCCCTCAACCCAGCGCAAAGGTAGGATCAGGAACCCGGGTGGACACCAGGGAACGGTGGCATCTACTTACTGCCTGCTCGCGGAGCTTCTCATACAAACACTCCAGCCGCTGCAATGCATCCTCCAGCTTCCTTCGGGTTTTCTGAAGTGAAACAGGTATTGCCAGCTCTGCCAAAGCTTCAAAGCCACCTCTCCCAGAACCAAGTTGTTCTCGCTCAGTCCCTTCCCTCTTCTGTTATTCCCACAGCACCTTACAATTCAGCTGCATCTCAGCCTCAGCCAGCCACAGACTGTGATACAAGCCAGCCATGCCCTCACTGTGCACATATACATGCACGCATTCTTTCCCCAAGACAGGAAGCTGAATTTGCCCTTTTTCCCATCTCCCAGCCTAGGCATTCCTCCCTTCTGCCAGTGCTTGCAGACCACAGGACAGAGTGACTACTTCCAAAGCTTGGGAAACATCCACTAGTTGATCCATGGGGCGTTCAGACAGTGTCACCCTGGCTGACCTAAGCAACAGCTTCTTCCTGGTCTCCTTGAGGAAGAGGGAATGTCCTTCCCACTCTAGGTAACCACTAAGGAAAGGGCCTGAGTACTGAAGCTCTGGTGGGACTAACCCCATTAACCCCACCTTGGATAATCCACTCACAGGTAAGTTATACCATGGATAGAAATGTCTGGCTCTGGGCAACACTGGGACAGGCCTGGCATCCTTAGGAGCTCAGGTGCATTGCATTGCTGTACCAACCCAGCTATTCAACCTCCATATAAGCCAAGTGCTTAAGCCCAAACCAACAGGCCTTTCTGTCCACAGAGGGAACCTTTGGGTTATCTCCCAGAAATTGCTACACTGCACTCTCAGAAAGCACAGAGCAAATATGCCAAAGCTGCTGCTACACACAAAGCAGCTTGGAGTCAGTGCTCATCCCAACACCCACTAAGCAGAGGTATTCTGGAAGGCTTCATGGTTCCCCCAAGTTCTGGGAAGACTTAGCAACTTAACACAATGCTGCAAAGACTGCTTTTCTGCTTCCAGACAGTCTGACCTGATACATTCATGCAATGTGATGTGTATGCCAACAGCCTTCCAGGAACCAGGGTGGAGAAATTACAGTGACTCGGACACAAAGATTGCCTGGCTTTCTCTTCCAGCCAGGGTATCTCAGCCTTTCCCTCTAAGCTCTGAGGATAGCTGGTAATCCTAGCTCTGCAGGAACTATCTACAGATCAAGCCAGTGAAAAAGCAAGCTGAATTAGCTGGGTCATTTCTTCTACTTTCCTCAGAGAGAAGAGCCAGAAGGACAGAACCATTGCTCCAGAGAGGCAATGAAAAGCAGTGGATAAATGCTAGAGAATGCATCTCAGTTCCCAAGAGATGGACAAGCCTACAGCCTAAAGGAAGGAGGCAGATGGAGATTAACTTGGTTATAGGGACAAGACTCTTCCTCTCTTTTCCCAACCAAAAGAAGGAAGCACCAGTCAAACACGAGGGCAAAAGCACCAAATATCAGAGAAGGGAGGACTTACTGGATCAGTGGCGACAGCAGAGCAGCGTTGCACCAACCCTTCAAATGTGACCTTCAGAGCCTGGTGCTCAGGGGGCACCTCCTTCCTCTCAACCCTCTCCACAGGTAGCTGGTGATACTGACAGAGAGAGAAGCAGCTGAATGAATGCAACAGGACCATGAAAGGCTGGAGCAGGTAGATTCCCCTCCTGTAACTATGAACAGAAAGAATTTCATCCCTTCGCAAACCCAGAGAATACCTGGAAGCACAGAGTTAGATTATCATCTTCAGACTGTGGTATTGCTTCAGGCCTCTGTGGATTCCCAACTCCCAGCAGGCTGACAGCCTGCTTGGCCTCCCTCCCTCTCTCCCAGCCATACCCAGGTGTCATTTTCCACCCTGGCAGTTCCTCTAACACTCAGGCAGAGATGTCTTATAAGGGCTAGGGAGCAACATAAGCCCTGCAGCTGCCAAGTAATAAGAATGTCAAAAGCCAAGTTGTTTTTCTACTTGACAAGGAGCTGGTGGCTGGGGAACACCCCACTTTTCCTGGGTACCTGCAGGCTGCCTTCCTTGGGTGCTCCTGGGGGTGACTGGCCAGATTCTTGCAACCTGGACATCTGAGGATGGATCCTTTGGGGCTCAGCGGGCAGGCTCATTACTGGAGCTGTGATGGGGGCTGGAGGAGTAAATTTCTCAGGCAACTGTCAGCAAAAAGAGAGAAAAGGAAAAAAAAAATTAAAAATCAAGAAAACCAAGTCCAAGGAAAAAAGGTTGGTTATACTCTCTGCAGTCAAATGCAACTTCCTTTCTAACTTGCAGAGAGCCCAGTTCTCAAGATGATGTGTAACACATCCCTCCCTGTTCTTTCAGCCCCCTGACTCAGAGCGTGGGGCCCTTCCTCTTGCATCCTAGATGAACAGTCAAAGCTACAGCAAGAAAACTCCTCTGGAATTGTTCAATCAAACAGATCCGTTGCCCCTGAAAGCACTGGTCCTCAGAAAGCCGCCTTGGCTCTGCGACGGCACGAGTCCTGAATGTAGAGATTAGCAGCAGTAAAATGTCCAACAGAGCAAGTGTTGGGGAAAATCCCACGACATGGGGGGAGAACCCTCCCGTAAACACTTCATCGTGCCCCTGCTAAGCCAGAGAGTCAGGATAGATTCGCTCTGACAGGGCTAGATCAAAAGGAGATGGCTTTAACAAGAGGCTAATCCTGTTGTAGTGAGCACAGCCTGAAGCAGGTTCCCAGCTATGCTGCCAGAAAAAGGGCGAGAAGTCTGTTCCAAGCTAAAGAGGAGTGGGGGGTGGGAATGGTGCCAAAGAAGCTTCTTGTCACACCTGCCAGCAGGCAGCAGTAATAGAAACGGGGTACCAAGAGCATTTGTTGCAAAAGAGCTCAGCTCACAGGTCCTCCAGTGCAATCACTACAAGGCAGAGAGCAGCAGGGCCAACATGGCAAGCAGCTCACAGCTACACCTATCCCAACTTCTTTCAGCAGAAGTGCCTTATCAGTTGGTATCAGCACCTGAGGGAAAATCACTGTGGGTCTCACTGTGCTGAGGGGAAATGCTGCCCCCAACTGTCAGGTGTAAAGTGAGTGTGATCTCCCCAGCCACTATCAAAAAAAAGCATGCGGGCAAGGGGACTAGATTAAATCCATATTTCTAGCACCAAGTGACTGTAGTCAGCCTGGGAGGTACTGACAGAGGATGCAGCATCACAGAACCGTGTTACAAAACAGCCACGCTGGACAACGGCATGTGAGTTTGGATGGCAAAGGGTCAAGATGATTTAGACTCCACTCCTAGCTATGCATGTAATGTAGAAGTAGACAGACCAGCATGGAATGAGACCTGCTGAGTGTGACAGGGAGCATTTATAGGAATGTATCTATTGCACAGAGCTCCCTGGCTAAAAGACAACCAACACATATTGCAGCTGAAAGCTTACCTTTTTTTTTTGAAGGCCTCCTCTTACAGCAGAGGCATCAGTCCAAGATTCCTGAGCTGCCAGGAAAGAGAACAAGACACAAATGTCAGACTTGAGAAGGAGGCCACAGCAACAATTCGCGGTTGCTTGCATGGTTTGGAACTTCCCTCAGCAAAAGGGCCCATGGCTCCAATTCCCCCATCATTGCACCTACAGACCATTTCAGCTGAGGAATTTCAGGCCCAACTCACATACCCAAGAACTGCTCTTACTTCCCTTTCTCTTAATTACATTCTTAGCAATGGAGTATGTGCACAGGCTTCATGAGGTGATGATGTCTGATCAGATTGAATCTACTGGCACACACCCACTCCCACACAGAAAGCTTTTTTGCAACTACCTGAAGCTTTCTGCATTCTGCATAGGCTGCAGAAGTCAGCCTCAGCATCAGGCCTGAACCTTGTTCGGGACCTGCGTGTGTGTGCATGTCAGGGTTCACGGAGTTCCTGGGGTTCCCCAAACAGAGACTCTAGCACTGTGGTATGACAACGAGGGATATGTTATGGGTGAGGGAGGGTTTCTCACCAACACTCGCAAGAGTGCCTCACGGTGGCAGTATGCAGAAATGCAGGTTGCTGTGATAAAGTGGGGAAAAGTCAGGGGTATGTTGAAATTTTCCCCTTCCAAAATCACGTTCAGAACCAAAGCTTAGCAAAATTTGCTGGCTTCCCAACTAGAAGGGAACAGACTTAACTAGTAAACACCTTGGGAGCAGAGGGGTGTCTCAGCAGACGCTTCTGTGGTACCTAGCCTCTAACCTCACTCCAGGCAATTAAAAATCCATCAGACAACATAACATTAAAAGACTTGTGACCACACTTAATTCTGCGAAGGTCAAATTCCAACTACCTTTTCTGCTGCTGTCCTGTAAGGGTACTTGCATCTCTAGACAAAACCCTGGTGCTTCTTTTGTCACCCCAGTATTAACAACCTCAAGCCCATGAGACAGGAATAATCTGTAAGTGGCATAATTCTAAGAAGCAATATCAGAATTGCTGGAGCTCAGTGCCACACTTAATGAGCCACTGATCCTGAACTGAGCTTTAAAAATCACAGGGGAAAGATGCAAAAGGTGCTTCATTATTTTAATTACCTTTATTATTAAAATTCTGGCAGCCTCTTTTTGCCCTCCCTTTTCCCATCATTTCAAGACTCGCTCTCTGATGAGTTTGGATCAGTAGTTTAATTAAGTTGGCACTTATTTCTAGCTTAGGGATTCTGTGCCCTAGAACTCTGCTGGCCCCCACCCAGCCTGTGGCCTAGCAGTCCCTGGCACTATTCCAAGCCAGTGGTACTTTGAATCCTCACAGGAAACAGCTATTTAAATTATAATCTTTAAGCCAGGCACTTAATCATAAGACATGAGACAACAGGACTCTGCTGCATTTTGCTGGAATGAAACTCTGACTATCTTGCCTATGCTACTTGTAAAAGAGGATTTCTCACCAACCCTGAAAGGAGTGCCCCATGGCAGCAGTATCCAGCAATGCTTGTCCTAGAAAAAACAAGGCTGCCACAGGGTGGAGTCAGGGATAATCCCAGCCAGAAAGATCAGCCAACATGTTGCTGTCCTTCACCCTGTCACTGACACTCCCCAGGGGCGTGGGATTTCTACAAGTGGAGATGTCTCTTCACTGCACTACTGAGAATGTGTTCATGAGCTGTTCAGATCATGTTCAGGAATTTCCAAAGCAAGCAAGTTTGGCCAGTCAGGTTGAGTGATCTTACAGTCCCTTTCCAGGCTAAAGAAAAGTACCCATCAAAACCAGAACAATAATAGCAGGCAAGAAAGCACTCTCAAGGAAGCCAGTTTGCACTGCTGATCTGGGTGCCATATGCTGCCATTAAAACTGGGGGTAAATGCCGCCAGGAGAAGGGAACTTCCCAGCAGTGAATTCCCACAGGGCATCTTCAGACTGAGGAAGTCCTTGAAATCCTTGCCATGGAATCATCTTTCCTTTAACAGGGAAACACTGGGGTCTTTTGTTTCTCTGCTGAAAGGACAACTCCCTTTCTAGACTCCCACTCCATACAGCAAGGTTTGCTTGGTGGTGTAAGTGGCTACCGAGTACTCAGATTTCCTAAATAAAGCTGGGGCTCCCTAGATAATCTTTTGTGCTTGGCAGATGGTCTTTGGTGCAAGCAGCAGTCATTGTGCAGAGACAGTCCACTAAAGATATTGAGGCTTACCCCACTGACAACGTAGACTCAAGATACCTACTCTCTATCATCAATGAATCCCAAGTAGAGAAATCAGTACAAAGCATCAGTCAGAAAACCTCTCCGGTCCAAATTCTCCCCAGCAGGTGGACTGAGATTCAAAGCCAAACCTTGCACTGTAACTAAAGCTGAAAGGGCTTTCCAGTTCCCCTTGGAACAGAGCCCCCAAATTTTGCTTGGGAAGCTCTACTCCACCACTGCTCATGCTGGGACCCACCTTTTCCAAATGACCTGGAGAAAGCACAAGCACAAGTAAAGCCATGCATCAGGCTGGGAGTGTAACAGGGAGAAAACAAGAGATGAGTTACAACCACTGGCCTGTTCCTTGCCTAGAGAACCAAGAAAGGAAAAGGGGCTGCTTCCCTGTCCTGCTGGCCCAGCAGCTGCCTGAAGGGGCACAGAGACTGAGAATGCTCTAATTCCTCCAGGACTGGAGGAAAGTAGAGAAGGAAGAAGCTGGAGCCCCTGCTTTCTGTACCCTAACTCATCAGTAGGAGCACAGTGCTTTCATTTCACTTCCAACATACCCAGCTGTCACTTACTAGTTCTCAGGACAAGTATGTCCACTACCCCAGCTGTATAGCTCCCCAGGCGTGCAAGGAAACAACAAATAGCAATGAGCATGCACACATGCACACACAGTAAAACGTGCACACATCCCACTTTTCACTAGAAACAGCAACATTGCCTCCCCGGCAGGTCTGGAGGCTTCTCTGGGTACTACCTGCATGATCCATGTGGGGATCTAGCCAAGGGAAGAAACCTGAAAATCAAGGCAGGGTGGTAAAGTCATCATCACCAACAGCTTTTACTCAGTGAGTAATGTCCCTGGACTACTATCCCTGATACCTTTTCAGAAGGAATTCATCCAGCCTTAGCTAAGAGCCTTTGTGTGCAGTCCCCACAGGCTTCACACAGTGGGATTTGCTATCCTTGGTTAAACACAGCTCAACAAAGGATTCCAGGTGGAGGCAAACCTCAAAGCCTCAGTTCCTTCACTCTCAGACTACGCATGGCTTGGAGAAGCATCTGCTCAAAAATCTAAGGATTGTCAGCCTTGTTGTTAGGGTTCTCCACAGCCTGGCTAAACCTGTCTCTGAGACAGCAACGAATTAACAAGCACCAGATGTGGTGATGTTGTGGGAAATAGAAAGAGGGAATGCCCATCCACTGGGAACTAGGTCCAACAACACTCTCTTTTTATTCATCATGCTAGCAAGGACTTCACAGTACTTGCAGGCTGGGCTGGATTCTAACTACAGAACCAAAGGGGAAAGGCTCCAGGTCTGGAGCACTGCACAGGGGAATCCAGAAGTGATTCCCAGGCAAGCACTTTATGGCAACAGGAAAAAAAATGGGAAGAACTAGAGCACAGCAGAGGAATTTTATCCTGAAGCTAAGCAAGGGGTATCTCATGGACACAGAAGCAGCACCCTGCTCTCCCAGCATTTCAAATGCACTTCTTGTGTAAGTTACATAAGCAGGGGTGAGGTCAGCAAGCCTTCCACCAGGCATTCCCCAGGAACCACCATCCTTTCAGTCAGAGCAGATGCCTCTGCAGTGGATGGCTACTCAGGATACACTGGGGACCTGAAGAGACAGCATCTTGTAACCTCAACCTGGGGGACAGAGCAGCTGAACAGGCTGAATGAAGCTGTTGTCATTGCTGTGTTTTACCACCACAGTAAGACTCAGCACAGTGTGCCTGTAAGGTTAGCCTCAGCACCACATCCAGCCTCTATGGTGACAGACCAGACCTCAGAAGGTCCACGTCCATTATGTACTGAAAAGCCCATCCAGGAGCGTTCCGGATACACAAGTCACACAAGCAGTACTTACCTGTGGGAGGAGGAGGAACGCTGGCTGCTGGCAGAGGCTTAGTAGATGGAGCTCCAGGACCTCCCTGAGGGTAACCCATGTTCATGGGGCAGTTGAAAGGTGCTGAAGAGAAACCTAGAGGAGACTGGCTTGCCACAGGGAGAGGACAAGCTGCAGGAAGCTGAGATGATGGGACTGAGGCTGGAGTGAACAGGGTGGGTCCGGGTGGTGGAACACCAGGAGATGTCATGGGCATGGACTGTCCTGGCAGAGAAGGCTGGCTGGGGAAGGGAGCAGGACCGACAGGTCTGACTCCCACTGGTCCGAATGGCTGAGACTGTGACACAGCTACAAATGAGAAAGAAAGTGTATCGGCATCGCTTGTTTCATGTGCAAACTATGCCTGATGCTCTCCTTCATGCTAGTAAGTCTGCCCTTCTCCAAGCCATACCCTAGAATAGCCATGCCAGGCATATCCCCCATAACCCAGGCTACATCAGTCAAAGTCTGCCACAAACTTAGCTGTGGCTTCTCCACCCCTATATATGCTTAATATCAGTGGATGTGCAGCAACAGATGCTAGAACTAGATGTGTCAGAAGCACTGAGAGGCCTCTCAGACAAGCTAACTTGTTCTTTGCAAGTACAATAGGCCTGTGAGGAAGAAGGTAGAGCAGCCATCCACGTTGAAGACTTTAGTCTAAGAAAACCTGGAGAATGAACATGGCTATCAGACAATGCTTACCTGGCCCTGAAACTGTTGCTGGAACCAAGCCCAAGTTGTACTGTGGGTATGGTGGCCCTCTGGAATAGACACTTGTTTGTGGACCTGTGCTGGCCTGGGGAGGGGCAATGTGGTGAGGTGTCATAGACATCGCTGGCACTGGCTGAGGTGTGAAGAGGGAAGGCACTGAAGGCTGAGAAGGTGCTGAAGGGGCAAATGATGACTGATAGTTGGGCTGCAATTAAAAAACAAAGAACTTGCAAATGGCCAACACAGTCATGTGCATACACACACAAGCAGATGCACTTTCTATCCCTGTCACTTTTCAGGCAAGAGAAGATGATGCTGCTGTCAGTGCCCTGGATGGGTTGGATCAAAGGCGTTTCCCACCACATAACTTGCTCTACGAGCTGGGCACCACACTCTTCAGAGTATTCTCTGGCTCTCAAGGATTAGTCCTCAGGAGCCATTTCCCATACAGTGACTTCCTTGAAGCACAACCAGAGAAAATAATGAAAGAACAATAATGAAGTAATAGAGGCTGCAAGCAAAACTTCCTGAACAGTTTTCTTGTGCAAGAACTGAGATTAAGCCATACTACACTAATTTTACTGAGATATGAGGGCGAGATGGGCATAGGAGAGTGAACCACAGCCCCCTTTTCCCTCAGTATGTGAGATCTCAGTGGATCACTACACTTGTAAGTCTCCTCCAGTGACTGCATGTGGGACAGGGCTTTGTGAAAAGATGCCAGACAGCCTACTTTTGGATTATCACAGAGCTTGTGTTTACTCCAGTGAAAGACATCACTGATGAGTTCTTCAATGCCTGCCATCTGTGTCATCTCATATTACTTCATATGCCTTAACCCAGTAAGCCTTCCTCCCTCTCCCCAAGCCATGAACACCTGAGTTTAAAGCCTACCTTCTCCGGATGTCTAGGACCTGTTTTGTGGACTGCTCCTTCAGGGCCAGAACCACCCTTGGCTGCTGGAGATGTGTGTTTAATGACACCTACATTGACACGAGTGTAGGGAAAAGGGGGTGGCTGCTCATCACCCACATTCTCTCCTTGAGCATGGAAAAGCCGGTCTCGGAGCTGTTCAATCAGGAGCTGAAATAAACTATGCTTTAGGAGAAGTGCCTTGAGACCCTCAGATGGAAGGTGCTGGGGAGGCATTCAGAGCAGACCCTGACCCACAGCACTGAGCATCAACCTGTAAAATTAACCATTTCCCCAATAGTCACCAGGAAAACAAACCAAAACCAACTGTAAGCAACAATCTGGGACATCACCTGCCATATTCCCAGGCAGATGAACTCTCACTGATTCTTCCCCCAATCTTTCAACTTTTCCCTCCCCAACCCCTACTCACATTTGGGCACTAGACAGATTTGTTTCAAACTACAAGGTGACCTCCTCATTCCCTTTCTCTACCAGCTAGTTTCAGGAATACATGCAGCTTGCCCGGAGAGCTGCTTCCCAGCATTGTTCTCCAGGAATCATTTTACAGTTCTATAGCTCCCTTCCTTTTTCCTGAATCAAAGGAACTACAAAGAAAAAGCAAATAAAGACAAAAGCTGTGTCCTAGGGAAAAAAAAAACCCAACAAAACCAAACAACCCAAAACCACACCTCTACTCTCAAGCCACCATAATTAAGGTGAAACCTTAAGTCCTGATGCATGTCAAAACCTAAGCTCTCTCTTGTATAAAGTACCATTTTTCCCCATATACTACTCTTTCCCACAAGAACTTGTTTCTCACTCACCTCTTTAGAGCTGCTGGGTAGGTAATTCATTGCGGCTGCCAAGCATCCTTGTGATGCCAGGAGACTGGCATATTGGGTGATTCGTTCTGCCAAGACAGGGCCTGGTGCTTGTCCTGCTGTGCCTCGGAGCATCTCAATGGACCTGCTCAGCACCATCACCTTCTCTATCAGATCCTGAATAAGTCAGGGGGAGGGAAGAAATAAACCACTCAGTCTGACTTGCTTTACCAGTCCATCTCATGCCGAGACAATGCCAGATGGCTTTCCCCACTTTCAACCGACATTGGGTCCAATGTGAACAGAAGTTACTCCACTCTGCACCAGATACTACCACTGATTACCATTTCCTCAGGTGCACTTTGTGGAGAAAAACAGGAACCAGGAAGCAAACCCTGACACTGCTACTTTTATGGTAAGGGAAAACAGAAAATCAGAAGCCACAAGGACATTCCAATCAGCTATAATCTTTTTACTAGGAAGTTACTACTGTAACTCTAGGAGTTACAAGCTATCAGCTTGGAAGAAGAAGAAGATTTAAAACCATACCAGGAGAAATTCACTAGGAAAAACTACTACTGCTGACAAACAGACCAGAAGGTTTTTAATTATTCAAAGTTCCTTCAACTCCTAGAAATCAAAGTAATGTTTATATCTGTGGAATGATATATGCATAGTTGGCTGATAACTGGGAGGAGGCCAGTTTCAAACATAATCAGGAATGCTGAAGATGCCTTTTTGTTGCTGTTATTCACTAGTGGGGTTGCAAAACCAGGGAACTCTGTAGCAGAGGGCATTATCTGCAGATATCCAAGTGGAAGACTTATCTAGTTCATTCTGGCAACTGATGGACACAATAGGGGTTAGTGACTTAGCCAGGACTGGTTTAAGAGTAACAGGTAGGTAACAACACTGACTTAGAAGCCCCGATTCATCTACAAGGTGTGACTTCCCATACATCATCATTCTACTTGCGGTGGGAATAATAGAGTCTAGACTATTTTATTTTGCTAGAGGCTGTTCCGAAGGTACAGCCAGATAACTGGAGCATTACAGTTAGACATAATAAGCACAGCAGCAAATGTACTCGCAGGCAACTATCAGTAAGAAAACAGGTACAGTCTAAACTTCTCTGACTAAAAGGAAGCTCAGACATGATGTCAGTATACAAAGAACAGGTGGGTAGGCCATAACTCTTGTCCACGGCTGGATTTATGTGCAATGTAATCAGTACTCTCTAAACACACAAACCCTTAATGTTTAAGAGTGCATCTCCTTTAGATGTAAGCCCATAATCCAGGCTAGAAGGAGATACCTTGGTGACTACGAACACGTCTCCATTGTGTGCTGGAAGCCAGATACTCCGTTTGATGACATAATGCAGACAGATCAGGGCTACCAGACTGTCCTAAAGAGGAGTCAAACCAACATTATAGCACCTGTACCTGCAGGGCAAGGGCTGATGAAGTCTCATGGTTTTTTACCCAGCATTCCACCAACCTCTCCACATTGCCTGATGAGATATAGCAGAGGCAGGCATCACTGGACAGGGCTGCATCTCCCTCTGACTCTAGGCGGGCACCCAGCATATCTAGAGAGGAAAAAATACAGCCAACATTTAACACACACTCTTTTTCAAGAGCTCATTAACCCCAATGCTCATCTCTTAGCAATCCTACTGTGGCTTGTCATGAAAAGATATTGACAGCTTTGGATCTACACCTAATTCTTGGATAACACAGAGAAATTGACATCATTAAGGAATCCCAAAGCCAACTTGGTTGAAAAAAGAAGTAATTTTTTTATAATCTGCCTATTTTCATATGTCTGCCCAGACATATAAAAGAAAGAAAAACCCTTAAAAATGACAGATGAATTCAGTGAAAAAGCCAATTTTTTTTTTTTTTTTTTCCAAAGAGGTGTGGGAATCTCCAGGTAACAGTAGTGTCCAGTACCAGAGACAGCTAGTAATCTGGTAGTTGTCAACATTTAGCAAATGCTAGGATATAAAGGTGAGCTGAAGCTATCTCACCACTACCATGTTCCACGCCTAGAATTTGGTCTGTAAAAGATGTCATGTTTTCTTGCATTTCAAGTTTATACAAGTAAGATGGTACAAGTGCTGGCATTTCTCCAACAGCACTTAGCTGTTCCTATCAGCCAGGAGCTAGTTCCCAGCTAAGCAACATGAGTAACTTCATCAGATTCAGTCACTAGACTGTCCCTGAACTCTGACTCTCAGAACAACCAGTTGCTGAGCATGTTGGACTATTAACAAGGCTGAGGAAACTACTGAAGCCATCAAACATTTATTAACCCTTGTTTCTCAGCTTAAAAGGGAGGGGAATATGCTGGAATGGTAAACCTCTTTCAGACGGAGTGAAGCCACCTGACCTTTTACTGTCAAGGAAATCCCTTTCTCCCCCCCAAAAATAGTAAATAAATAGTAAGTATCACCCTCTCAGTGTCTCAGTCTAGTGCCTATCCTGTTTTTTCCATGCTATTGGTAGAGGTGACAGGAAATATCAGCATATATAACTTTATACTATGACTCACAGCTACAGTGTGCATATATCATTCTCCTAACTCAACAGTCCACACTTACTTAATAAGTTCCAGCTAGCTGTAATAAGTAGGGAGTGCCTGCCTTCCTCAACAGTATCTACTTCTTTCTGAAAGCAGTCCATAGTTGCCCTCCCCTAAGGGAAATCACATCAAAACATAGTATGCTGCATACCACAGAGCTGGGTATAGTCCTCATGCTTTGAGTATGTTAACAAGATGGCCAGTGCCTCCTTCCAGCTCTGTAGATCGCAAGTGCAAACAATATCTTGCCAGTTCTGTTGCACAATGGAGGAAAGCAGCTGTAAGGGAAGCAGAAGGCCTGCCAGTCACTGAAGACAAAGATAAGCTGACTGCTTTAGCAAGTGCACCCACAGGGATAGCTCACTTTCAGGCACACTTCCCACTATGCAGCAACTACCTCACTGTACATTAAGGTCCACCAATCCCAGCACCCCAGTGTTAACAGTAATTGGAACCCAATGCCTCTAAAGAAAGTAAAAGCGCCCAACAAAGCACTTAAGAGAATATGAAAACAGCCACACTAGGCAAGAGCAAAGATCTAATACATATCCTGTTTCAGAGCAGGTAGTATCAATGACTGGGAATATAGTATTAGGATATCCCAACCCCCATTACACTTCCTCATTTGTCAATTAATAAGCTAGGACCTTCCTAGCCAAGCTGTAAAGGGGCAGTATGCTCTACGGGTTACAAGCATGGGGAGCTAAGGCAGAAACCATTAGATTAAAAAAAAAAAAGGAACAGAGAACACAAACATTCTAGGTGGGCAACATGAAGTTGTCATAAAACTACCAGGAGATTACAGTAAATGTCTAGCCAAGAGGAGATGCACAGATTTTGCTGACATTCTACTTCCCGCCAAAGCATTTCCACATACATTCAGACAAACATCTGCCAAGATATCGCACACCTTCCCCTGCTCAGTAGGTACACAAAACTATCACTTACCAGGGAGAGTTTTGTCTTACACTTGGCAAAGTAGCGCTTCTGGGTCTCCTTCAGGAGGTTCTCCCCACCAGCTATAGCTAAGATGATGGCATCAGCAAAGCGCTCTGCCCGCATGCACAGCTCCACTGCACCCTCAAAATTCCCCAACAAAAGGGCTTGGCTGATGAGTCCATCCGTATCTACAGAGATGAGAAGCAGAGTTAACCCACAGGGACATCATCCAGATGCATTAATGATGCTCATTTTAAAGAGCAGGCAGTAAAAACCAATAAAGTATAGAAGCCCAGCTAAAAGAAGAGTTGGAAACCCAAATTAGGTTTAAAAAAAACCACACTGGCTTGACAGTAAGTCTTCCATCATCTAGAATATTCTTCTATACTCTTAATGGGTCTCTTATCTGCAAAGAGTATTTCCTGCACAATGCTGAGAGATGTTGCATGACACTGGAAGGGGTCATGTGTTTTAAAAGTACCCATCTGATGGAGTGGACCAGATTCTTCCTGGTAATTTTCTGGTTTTTTTCCTCCTCTCCCTTTTTCCTAAGGGGGCAGAAACACATTTCATGTAACCTACCTTCTGTGACAGGAATCTCCAATGTGCTCATATTCTGTGGGATGAGGTTGTCGAAAAAGGCTGAAGAGGAGGAAACAGCAGCTACATCATCACTGGAATTTATCAAAAGCTGTGCAAAGAGTGCAAGAGGTTAATTCATTGCACACACAGATCCTGCCCAAAACAGTTTAACGGCTTACTGAGTGGGATGGGGCTGCTCTCCATTTAGTTGAGCATGCTCATATAAATCTGATTTCAACTCGGAAACCCATCATGCCTCCTGTCACTGCTCTATCAAGCTGCACAGTTTCACTGGGGCAGCAATAAGAGCAGTGCTGCTATTGACAAAGCTTAGGAGTTTGACAGTATAAGACATGCAATGCCAACAGTATCACTGGCCAGCATTCACCAACTCAACTGCCAGCCCTTGAGCAAACTGAATTTTGGATGGAATAGGGACAACAAGTGATATCTGTAACTAACAGGTAAGATCACAGCCATGCTTGGTGCTGTATTGAAATGCAGGACACAATTGCTACCCCTAGAATATCTCAGCAAGCGTTTAAGGTTTGTGAAGAGGATTACCAATCTGAGGATAGCAGTTTTAGATACCTTAGAGGAGCAAAATTTACAGTGCACGGTGAACCAGGCCTTGGAAGGCACCTGAAGATGGACATCCCAAAATCATGTGAGAATACATTGCAAAGGGTAGAGGTGAAAAGGGAAGAAATGCAAAAGAAATACCACAGCAGAAGCTTCACAGAGGAAATCCAGAACAGTAGCATAAAGTTAAGCTGGGGTGAGGCTAATTCTATCACTGAAGAAATCAGCACTGGTGAAGCAAGCCTTCTTGCAGTGTTAATAGCCAGGAGTCCATCTTCATCGTTCGCTGATTTGTTTTAAAGCCAGAAGGGACTGCTATGATCATTTGGTCTGACCCTGTGAGGGTCTGACAGGACTGTGAACTGCCCTCTGCGATGCCTGCATTGAGCCCAACAACTTGTAGTGGGAATTAAACCTTCCTGTTCATTCTGCCTTCCACTGCTCTCCCAGACTGGCAAGAGGTACAGGACATACCTGATCTGGCTGTGCAGCATTTGTCTCATCTGCCTCAGGAAGGGGCTGTTTATCTGAGATCCCATCACTCAAACATGAGGTGATCTAGAAAAGTAACAACATTCACAGTGAAGCCTCTATCAAAGTTAAACACCTGGGCAGCAAAGCCACCAAGTGACTGGCATGCCCCAGACACAATTCCCCCAGCTCTTTCACCTGTTTGAAAAGTTCCACCTCTCCCTATTCCTGGCTGGCTGCCTATCAGAGGTTATTTATCCTTTTCAGAGCATTGTCCATGCTGCTGCAAAAGTTTCCTCCCCTGCAGCTCCATCAGTGCTATGCCAGACTGTCTTCATCTGTCACCTTCTTCCTGGCTGATGAATCCCCTGAGATGCAGAGAGCTGGATGCTAGAAGCAGCTCTCAATTGCACTGTTGCTATACATTTCCCAGAGCACCAACAACTGGAAGCAAGATAACTGTGCTCAAGATGCCTTTGGTTTGATCCAGTACAGCTACAGTTACACCCTTAAAAGTGCCCACATTTGCTTTTTTAATGGGGGATATTTGAGGTGCCTCTCAGCTGAAATTTCATGCAGTTTGGTCTTTTGTGTGCTATGAGATCACTCACTCATTCCCAGTAGGGACCCTACAACTCTCCTGCAGCAGCTTTAGTCCTGTAAAGGTTTCTCTCTATTGGAAACACCTCTTACCTTTTTTTGCAGATTGTCTTTACTGTAGCCCAGCAGCTTGAGGAGTTTAGTCCTGGACTCCTGCTCCAGGTTCACCTGAGTCCCAAAGGATATTGAAAAAGACAAGAAAATATGTAAAATCCTAGACATCTACACACTGCCAACAGTTGGCTGCTTCTGGCAGCAGCAAAGTGTAGAGCTCAGTTTATAGATAAAGAACACAACTATGACAAGTCTACCTAACGACTACTGTGGGAAAAATCTATGGAATTTAAGTTACTATCACGATAAAAGGGTGAAATTCAAGTTTGTCACATAGTTACAATTGTGTATCAGGGCTATGATTGTATGCATACTTAGTGTACTTGGTTATTAATTCCCTGGATGGTCTAGGAATTGCCAAGCTAATCTCTGCATAGAGACAATGGACTGATTTGAGTCCGGATGAAACTGAGACAAGGTGGTTGCCTGAACTCCTAGTCACAAAAATTAGTTAACTAATTGTTACAGAAGCTCCCTGGGTGGGGATTTCAGACAGTCCCACAGATTCCCACAGGCTGCATGCAGCCTAATTGAGAGGCACTATTTGTATGCTTTAATGCGTGATTAACATTCTGCAAGGAGAATCTGTCTGTCTCAGTAAGTCCCAGGCTGTTCCTACTACAGAAATGACTAAACTGTACATGGATAAGATACTTGTAAACAGTCAGTAGAAACTGTTCTTGCAGATGCAGAAATGGTCATGCAGAACAGTCTTTTGTACAGAAGCTTGGTTTGTAGTTTAAGACAATCAATAGTAAAAGATCTTGTATGTGCTGGAGCGGTCTCACAGGACCATGGGCCAGCTGGATTATAAAAATTTACTAGAATGACAGTTTGACAAGTCTCATCCAATGCAGCTGAAGACATTGTTGCAATGACCCTTGTAACAAAGACTACTGTCACCACCTAGACAACAACCCATCCCACACACAGTCTGCCTACGAGTGTCTGTAAAACACTACCAAGGCTAAGCCCTGCCCCTGCAGAAGGGTGGCCACTCCTCGTTACCAAACTCTTTCATATTACCAAATTGTCAATGAAACCATCATCATGTGTGGGGCTACAGTCACTCCTGATACCACCACACCTCTCCCTTATTACTGGGGAATCTCATTGCCCATTTGGACTTTGCCTTGAGAAATAGTAACAGTAGAGTGCCACAGGTAGCAGGCAGATACAGCTTGGCAGTGGGTTGACATGAGAAAATCCTGTCCAGCACCTTGACAGGAAGCCCAAACAACTCCCCTTAAAAGACCGTTCCTACTGAAAAATAAGGCAACCTCTAAGACCTCATCTGCAAAAACTTTTCTTTAGACAAGTAACTAACTAGCCCATTCAGTTCTATTTTATATCTTAAAGAACAGGAATATAAACGGCTAGAGAGGACCATAATGAACACATTCCACCCCAGGACCGTAAAAGAACTGACCTCTCTGTTTCACCACAGCCATCCTACCTTCAAGAAGTTCCAAAGGTTCTCATCAAATGGCAACTTGGCTGTCTGGATCTTGCCCTGGCAGTAATCAAGGAGGTTCCCTGACTGCAAGGCCATCTGCAGTTCTCTAGATCGGAGCAGAAATTCAGTTTCAGTAGTGACTTGACTGATGAATACTTGGTGTGGGTATGTCTGCTGCATTTGCTGTCCAGGAGCTTTGGCAAGACCAAAGGAAATAAGTTTTCCTCCAAACTGAGAAAGACAGAGGGAGTCACAGTAAGCATTCTTATAAATGAAGGTAAAAGCAACGCAGCTCTTCATTCAGCACGGTGGACTCAAGCTCCAGCTGTGATCACAAGGAACCCGAACAGTTTAATGTGTATGGATGGTAAGGCCATTGAGGGAGTTCAGATCACAAGCCCTTCAGCTGAAGACTGATAACCATGGCACTTCTGTATGTGCTATCAGGCCTAACCAATTGCAAATGCCAGAGAGGCACAGAGGAAAAAGTACCATTTGGAACTGTTTGTTCTTTTCTGACATGGAAAGGCAGGCTGCAATGACAGAAACGATCATGTGAATGGCAGGCACTAGACAGACAGAGAACAAGTCAAGCCACAGGCTAAAAGAACAATTCAGCCTTTTGACTTAGTAGCAAAGAGGTGAAGAAAATTAAATACCTGGATAGGAAGGAGAAAGACAGAGGAAAATGGGAACGCATGTCACAGCCTACAAGGACAGCTTTTATGACTCTTCCTTAGCTTTGTTAACTCTTACTTATAACCTCCCATTCTCTGCTGCAGGACTCTTTCTTGTTGGAAATATATCTGAATGTTGAGCGAAAGAGCTTTCCTCCATGGGACACCATACTGCACCTTAAACAGGCATCAAAACAGCTAGCAGTGGGAAGATAAAAGGTTTCTCTAGCTAAAGAAAAGGATTGTGTCACAAGATGACACACCTGTTGCATTTTAAGCTAACAATGCTCCATTCACTTACTGCAAATGAAACCCCCACAGGTCTGCGAATCCACTTGGGTGGCTTTTTTAATGGTGGAATCAAGGTGGTCTGAGCTACTTGCTCTGGCACCTGCAGAGGAGGAAGGATCTGTCCTGTGCCAAAGGGATCCAGGTTGTTGAAGGATGAAGAGATCTAAAATCAGATGGAGAAAGGAGTAAGATATAATTCAATTCCTCTCTGTACAGACTAAGCACAAAAAACTATTGCTTAGTAATTAGTTACTTTCCTCGCTGATGAAGAAAAAGGCTATTACAGCACCTTTCCCTGGAATACCACCAAGCCTCTATGTGAAAGAAGTGGTATTTCCAAACAGTTCCAGAAATTATTTCTCAAGAAAGCTTCACCTTGAGAGATTTTCAAGTAATTTTTCCTTAGCAAGATGCAAATTCCCTAACATACACTGCCTGGCCTAGCACCCAGCTCATAAACACAGGAGTTACAAAATTACTAGTTTTATGCAAGATAGTGACAACATAAGCTGGACAACTTTAGACCATATTTCTTGTTTTGCTCACAAAGGAATGCTGACTCCCTTTCTGGTTTAGGGGTCTTTCAAATGGGGTAGTTTTATGGACTGTCTCAAGCTTTTATAGCTTAGATGAGAATGGTGAAATAATCTCTCCAGACTTTCTTGCCTAGACAAGAGAGTGTCAAAAGTAGCCTCTCATCTGGATTTCTGACATTTAGGAAGTCAGTGAGCATACATACAATGCTGTTCACAAGCATTCTTAATTTTTAAGACTGTTGGCATAGATTTGTTGTTTGCTAAAGATAACCCTGTTCAAGTTTGACTGGACCATAGGGCACAGCTCTAAACTACTACAGCTGAAGGGCATACCTGAACAGAAGCAACACAAGGCTTATCAACCTAAGGTTGCCAAACAAAGAATCACAGGCAAGACCTACACGTTTTGTCTTTCAAGTCTTTCTTGAGGGGAAACCAATTCCAAAGACAGACCATTTCCTGGAGGAACAGCTTATACCTAATAAATCAGTCACTCTAAATCTTCAAAAAATAGATACACACTACCAGGGTACCAGTAACATCAACCACCAGGTCTTTTACAGAGTTTCTGTCCTGATACCATGGAATCCAGAGGAAAGAGGCCCCTTGTTCATGAACTTCCCGCCTCCATAATTGTCATTATCTCCTCCTATTTTTGTTCTTATTTGTTATTCTATTTATCTAGGAGTTATTCTAACCTACTGTTCTCCAATTTTGAAGAGTGGAAGTGGGGCGCATGCACATGAAGAATGCACAGAAAGAAAATTCTCCATGGGTTAAATAAATCCTTAATCTCCTACAGCTGTTGCTTGATAAAGTATTTTCTTTCTCTTGCAAATCCTATGAAACTGAACTCAGTCAGCTGTAAATGACTATATAAATAACACTTAAGCCAGCTCATACGTATTCTCTTAAAACCTGTATTGCAATGTATTTGTTAGCTGGGAGAGAGGGAGGGAATTAAAAGACTAGACACCAGATTAAAAGTAAAATTTTAGACAGTACTAACATTTAATCTGTTCAGAGTTTGCCCGTCTATTCATTGGCTAAGTAATGGGTTTCAGTATCAAAATATTAACATGCTCCAAGTTATAGTCAATTAACTGGAGGAAAATTGCTAATAGTGGCTTATAAGCTAGTTTTTAGAATTCTCTGCTGAACTAATAATGAACATGTTGTATTAATTAGTATCAATGTATTTAATTTTAACCTAATGACAAGACAAGCTTGTTGCTCCAAGAGGTGTGCTGCTTTATTTTTAGTCTAGTAGCAATAACCATAAAATATATATAACATCAAAACTATACCTGATCTTGGCTCTATTTACACACTTTAATGAATTTTACAAGAAATTTGGAGACACCTTTGTCAAGAGGCAATGTAGTTCCTTTGGTACTTGGTGGATATTAAGTCCCCACACAGGTAGCTTCTGGTTCCCACACCATATAGCTATATGTCCTGGCGTGTGGGACAGACTGCATCGCTTAAAAAATCATACTGTTACACACACGTGCTTCTAACGCTCTCACAAGCCAGGTGAGTAATTGCCGATTTGTCAAGCCGTAACGTGCTCACAGGACTTTACCTTGTCAGCCTGCGTCCTCTGCTGAGCTTCTAAGTTCCCACCCATAACAGAATAAATGTTGATCCACCCATCGAAAGTGGCAGCAGAGAAGACTGAAGGATTCCTAGGACACCACTGGACGTCAAAGCACCATTGACTCCGAATGGGCAACTCGTAAACCACCTATCACAGAAAGAGAGAAGGCAGAAGCACAACACAAATAGTCCCCTGCTTTCCCCAAATTACTTGCCCACAGCAAGTGTGTCACACTTTATTTACATATCACCACTGTATACAAATGTCTTATTTTTGCTTCTTGAAAGACACGTTGCAACCGAGTTACAGCACATTGAGCCCAAATGGCAGAAAGCCACAGAAAGCTGCTGTACCATAGGATTCCTACTGTAGAACAAAATGCAAATGCAACAAGTCAATACTGTCACACCTGCTGTTAACCAAGGGAGACACATCAGAAGACAACGCAAGAAAACCAGAAGCCAAAAGGCAAAAAGGTGTCATGAGCAAGAACATGTAAGCAGAAAGAATAGTCTGGAAAAATAAATTTTACAAGGAAAATAAAAGTCTACAGAAAAAAGTAGAACAACAAAAGAGGCCTGTAATAGATGCAGATGAACTATGAAGGATTTTGCAGCCAAAAAGTTTCTGGTCCAGCACTCAAAAATCCAAAGTTCAATTCATGGCCCAGTCACAGACTTCCTGCCTGATGTTGAGCAACTCACTAACACAACCTTGACTTTGAACCTCCAGTCTGTAAAATTAAGAGATTTCCTTTATGCCTCACAGGCACAAAGCACAGAGAATCACAGCTTCCTTCTCTGTCAGAACATGATCTGTTTTCTGTTCCCAGGTACAAAACTTTACATTTGCTTATATTAAAATCTGGACTGCTAAATTAGAAAAAAAAAAAAAAAAAGAAAAAAAAGACAAACCCCCTTCCCAAATATCCCCCCAAAACAAAGAAACCAACTCTTCCCCAAACTCACCAGATCAGCCATTCTGTTAACTGTACTGATTTTTGTATCACCTGAAAATTTTCTATTCATTGGTACCAAGTCAAGAACAGCCCCCTAACAATAGTTTGTGCATAAATGCCTAAGTTGAATTTGGACTCTGCAAATCTACAATAGCGCGCATAAAGATGAGCCAGTTGCACTAAAATTGTTGTTTGTTTTTTTTTAATTTTTCTGCTAAAACACAGTGAAAAGATTTTAGTAAAAATTAGACTTCAGGAACCTTTCAGAGTCTGATTCTCTTCTAACCACTAGACATCTGTACAGAGTAAGCATTAAATCCCATGAAACCACAACAGCAGTATTTCATGCGTTTTATGGAAATGGAATATTTTTTCCATGCCTCCAAGGCAAAGGTGGTCAGCTAAGTGAAACTGTCCCATTAAATGAATCCAGCCTGGGGCTCCCAGCTGGACTTTCTTCAGTATTGTTAGAGTACTTTCCCCATGTTATCATCAAGATCAACTGCTTGAATTCTGTTCAAAGTTCAAAATTCAGTTTTATCCAGAAATTCAGCATTGAATGAGTAGGTGTGCAGAAAATTTTTTTTACACAGTCCTATTTTAATTCCGGTGATACCAAAATATTTCAAAGATGGGAATTTTGAGATACATAACTAAATAAGCACACACATGTGAAACCACTGTACTATGAATAAAGTTAACACACATATTAGTTACATTGTTCCCCTCTCAATGACCCTAACAAATGCTCCTCATTCTCCTTCAAGTTTCCCCCCCAAAAAACTTACTACCCTAGGAGAAGGAAGAAGAAGAAACAAATGGACACAGAGAACACTACATGTGTGAACATAGCAAGAGTAATCATAATTAGCTGAAACTAAGTTTTAGTTAAAGCTTTCTTCCCTCTATGATCTCTGGACATAGATATATCAGAGAAAATCTCTGCCTGTCTCTGTTATTTTCAGTCTCATTCACTCCAGACAGAAGAATGCAGAATACATACTGGAGGAAATTACATTGACACTCGACAAGGATATAGAGAAGGGACATATACATAGCATAGCACACAACTCTGTATAAGGCAGACCATGTGTACTTATAGCTGCGGTTATGTACCTCCCCCACACTTGGGTTCCAGCACAAGATCCGGTTGTCTTTGGCGCTACTCAACAGCAGTTCAGGGTCAGCCTGGCACCAAGAGATGGAGAGAACTCCCCTAAAATAGATCAGAAAGAAATCAGTCATATTTCATACCCAGTCCACTCTCCCACCCTGTCACCAAGAAAGCAGCAGAAATGCTGCTTAAGCTCAGAAATGCTAGTTCTCATCTCTACCCTCAACCAGATTCATCTGTGAAACAAAGCAGGCCTAGCAAAAAGTCATAGTTGTCCTAAGTCCAGCCTCCCAGATGTCTGCCTTTTAAAGATGGAGATCCTTGAAAAGACAACAGAACAAGCAGGCCCTCACCTCATGTGCCCTTCCAGCTGGCTCAAAGGAGAGGTAGCAAAACGTAAGTCCCATATTTGTATCACTGGCAAGCGGTCATCCTCGGAGGAAAGGACTAGCTGGGTTGCAACTTCTGGATGCCAGGCCATTCCTGAGCAATGCATCTAGGGACAAAAATAACATAGGCTGAAAATTCAGCAAAGCAAGTTGGCATTAGCAAAAATGGCCCAGAGCCACATCATTCTGCACTTAACTTGCCTAGAATGCTTGACATAAAGCAAGTCTAGCAATGTCTTGCTGTGGGAAGCAAGTATTTCTACCTTCTTGTCATGGTTCAAGCCCAGCCACCAACTAGGCACCATGCCGCTGCTCGCTCCCTCGCCCCGCCCCAGTGGGATGGGGAAGAGAATCGGAAAAAAAGTAAAACTCATGGGTTGAAATAAGAATGATTTAATAACTAAAGTAAAATACAATGTAATACTAACAAAAATAATGAAAAATATTATTATAATAATTGTAATGAAAAGGAATATAATAAAATAAAAAAACAGGTGATGCACAATGCAATTGCTCACCACCCACTGACCAATGCCCAAGCACCAATCTGCCCCTCCTGGCCAACCCCCCCCCAGTTTACATACTGAGCATGACATTCTATGATATGGAATATCCCTTTGGCTAGTTTGGGTCAGCTGTCCTGGCTGTGCTCCTTCCCAGCTTCTTGTACACCTGCTTGCTGGCAGAGCACAGGAAACTGAAAAAGCCTTAACTTAGGCAGAGGAAAATTAACTCTATCCCAGCTGAAACCCGGACACTTCTCCACAGAGCAAAAACCACACTAACCATACAGAAGTTGAAGGACTAGTTCAAAGCTGGTCTAGGAAGACAGCTGGGAGTAAAACACAGGAGGCTTCTCATAAATGAGCTGTGAACATAGAAATTGAATGCAAGGGTGCCCTAATTTTAAGAACAGATAGGGGTCTTGTTTCTCCATTTCATTAGGGAAAAAAAGAGATAAGTGCTTTGATGCTACAGTTCCAAGAAAACCAGCCCCAACAGCTCCTACAATAAAAACACTTGATCCCAAGAGCCTGTGCCACTGCTTTGCAGTCACATGTGGCTTGTTGTAAGCTAGTCAGAATCACAGGCTTTCCTCCACTCACTCTGTTGCTGTGGTCACTGACTTTGATGATAGGCTCATTCTTCCTGAGGTCCCAAACCACAGCCTTGCCGCTGGGGTGAGCGGAGGACAGGATATGCTGCACCTGCCGATTCCAGGACACCACACTGACATCTTCATGGGGCTGCCAAGACAGGAAAGGCCACACATCCATTATTCCCATGTTGAGGGAACTCTAATCACAGGATTCTGTCACTAAGGGATTTGAGGATATATAGATTCTTCTCTTCAATCACTGATCAACTAACTGGAAATAGCAGCACTGACCAGAAAGACTAGGGAGCATGGAAAGTCCTTTACTCAGAATGTACAGTGGACAGTCAAGTTCTACGGGGAAGGTCACCTGGAAAAGCACATTTGCATTTTGGGAGCAGGTACTGGATTCTGCATTGGCCAAATGTGTCATAAATCAGTGCAGAGAGAACTGCAGCTGAGGGAACATAGATGCTTCTACCCTGACTCCTGGGATGAACTTAAATGGAAAGATGACTTTGTGCAACATTTCAGGGGTGCAGCAAGATGGAAAACGTTGAAGCATTCAAGGATAATTGCCATTACTGTATCTACTGCAATGCAGGAGATAAGTCCCCCATTTGTGTCCTTGCCTATTGCAGGAAAAACCTGGCCTGATTTTAGGCAAATTTACTACGGTTTTTTTACTTTCAACAGTTGATTGCCTTGAATAACATAATCAGCATCAGAAGATCAGAAGCTTCTTCCTCTTCAAACTCCGGAAACATTATCTGTGAGTAATAGCCAAGATGCATTAATGCATTAAATGGCTCACTGGCTCTGCTAGGTATATTACTTTCATGAGATATGAAAAGCTTCAGCTGAAACCTGAAGTAAATTCATTCCTCAGAGAAGGTCCAATAAGCCTTCGTAATCCATCACACATGCACCAGCTGGATCACAAGATAAACTGGTCAGTTACTTGATTCAAATCCACAAAGAGCTTACCCATCCATGCAAAGTGCATCCTTCCAGAGGTTGCCCGCCTATCTCCCCACCCTTATAACACCCTTTCCACCTCCCCAGAATGAAGCTGATCAGTCAGTTCTGATTCATCTTTCTCCTGACAGACGTCAAGGTCATTTCCCCTTCACAGACTGACTAGATCAGGATGACTCCACACACTCACATCTTTTTGCCTTGCCTACTGAGATATAAAACTGCAGGGATATTGCCCAGAGAAAAATTTGTTTACCTGTGATTTAGCCCCTGGAGTCATAGGCACACTGAAGTTATTCAAGTCCCAGATGAAAATTTCAGAATCGTTGGCTCCAGAAGCCAAGAGGTTACTCTGTAGAAAAAAAGAAAAGCTCAGCTGAGTTTCACAGGGAAAGAGGACAGATTTCTTAAAAATAAATGTAAGCAAAAAACCCAAAAGCTTCCAAAGTGAGGCAAGAGCTGCATTTCACAGCCACTGGTAAGCAGAAAGGTACTAAATGGATTATAAACCAGGCACATTTGTGGCCTCCATGCCTTCAGCTGTGCCATGGTACAGACCTGTTTAAAATTTGTCTAGCAAGCTACATGTGCTAGTGTTACTCATCATGAAACTCTGCTACAGGCCTGGAAGCTGCTGTCTCTGGCCAGCTGAGCCTTTGCCCTGCATCCTGGCACCAGGGACATTTCTTCTGACAAGATGCAGGCTTCCCACAAGGGTCTGCAAACAACTGTCAATTTGCCTTTGCGCTACCACAAGAACTTATGTTCTGTTCACTACTCGCTTATGTTGCGGTCCCTTCAAGTGTGAACAGAGCCCCACTGAATTAAACACCAACTGAACAAATAAAAAAAGTTCTGATTTCAAATGGGTAATGGTCTAACACGTAACAGTATTACAAGACATGTTTTTACAGAGAAATAAGAGACTTGATCAAAGTCACAAGGGAATTCATTGGCAAAGCTGTGAACAGAACCCAAATCTGAGTCCCAAAGCAGCCTTGTGTCACAACTACCAGGCCTCTTTCAGGTTAAAGACTGTTCCTTCAGTTTATAAATCTCTATACACAAGGGGAAAACATATTTTTTTAATATGGAGGTTAATTTTCATTTGGTTATAAGTATCTTAATGTTGCATACCTGGAAAGGGTTGAAGTCAAGAGCTCGAACAGGACCTGAATGCTTCTCCATCTGCCCAATTACAGGCTCACTCTTTGAAGCCAAGATGTGGTGCACACTGTACATTGTCAGTACACCATTATCCCCTCCACCAATGATCACTCCGGAGGACTCTGGGGACCCATTTCCAAAGTTACCCCAGATCAGCTTATGAAACCTAAAAAAAGACAAAAATAAAGCTTGCATAAGCCTCAACATTTGGTGGAAGTCAAGACACCATCTGCATTACCAAAAACTACATCCATCTTCCAACTTATCAAACATAACCATCGGTCTGCACCTTAAGTAGCCATTTCCCTTTGAAGATGACTCTGGCTCTTACATGGAAAAAAAGAAATGAGCCTCCTTCCAAAGACTTTTAAGGGGAACTTAAAAAGGAAGAGCTAGTCTGTCTCTTTTTTTGTTGTTTTTTTTACCTTAAAACATTCAGGACCTCATATGGGATTTGGTGGGTGAACTCGTCTAACCTAGGCTATATAGAAGATTAGATTACAGGACTATATGCCTTCTTTTCCAGAGCTATGATCTGAAAAATATGTTTACCCACTGTAAAAGCTGCTAGTTACAAATCAAGGCTGTGTTTTACACTGGATGCAAATGTCACCCACACTGATGAGCCTAAGAAAATCACCTTGTCTTAAAAAGCTGGAAGACAATTTTCACTCTTCCTCTAGTCTCTTTATTGCAAATCATTAGCTCCAGCAAATTCACATGATACGGAATGATTCTGACTGACTACCATATAAGTCCTTTCAGCCTTCTACAATGGTCCAACTGCTGTACTTTTACACCCAACATGATTTGTGTCAACAAAAATATTCAATTCTTGAAGATGGAGGTCAACTGACCCAAAAGATCACTTTATACCCCCAAAATATGATCTCCTCCTCTCCTTTCTTGTACAGAAAAGCCCTTTCCAGCTTCACTGATTGATACGTCAGTATGAGTGTCTAGTACCTGTTTGAGGCAGGAAGCGTTCCTTTCTGCTTCATATCCAGGGAAGGATCCCTGAAGTCAACCTCGAATATCTCCAAGGTGGCATTTGTACTGAAGGATGCATCCAGTTGTTGGGCAGATGTTCCTAGCAGAAATACAAGGGCAAAACAAGTGGGCTCTTTTTTCAAGAGCACAAGATACAAAAAGAGCAATGCACTGGAAACCTATTCTTGATAGTCGACACAACCTTGGTTGTGCCCGTTCAAGGAAAGGACATGTTTGAATACCTCAGAAAGAGGAACCAACAATTATGACAAAGACTTTGAAATAAATTAGAACTTCTTCAAGAAATTCTGGGCATTAGGGTCAGTGCTGTGCAAATACCTTTCTCTCTTGAGATAAATATAATTCATATACCCTCTTCCAAGCAGCCACATCTTCTGATATGAAGCCCTTATCTAAATTACAAATGCAGTCGCATCATGAAACCCCACTACACATATGATCCCAAATACTTTTGTATACTGCTCCTCAACCACAACCATATGTCTTGATCAAGCCTTCTAAACCTCGTCTACAGCAAAAGTTCTTCAGCCTTAGCCAACTAAACACTCCCCAACAACCCACGGACAGCTAGCAGTCACACAGTGGTGGCTTCCTTCCTTCTCCCTAGCTTACAGAATAAAAGCTAAAAGTAGATTTAATATTGCCTAATGGGACACTGCCAGGCAAAGAGTCACCCAATTACCACAGAGGTGCTTTGTAACAGCCTATGGCATGGAAAGTGCCCAAGAGACTATTAAAAAGCAGTACAAATTATGAAACTATGCAGTTTGTGGTCTAAAGCAGACTGAAGCCAAGACCTTTGGTCCAACTAAAAATCTGTCCTTATTAGAGAAACAGACTATCTACCCCAAAAATGGTAATGTTGCTTTTAAGGCAACAGCCGAACTTCTGTCACTTTCTTTTGACAGTCACCCCTGAAAAAAAAAAAGGAAAACAATACAGCAGCACTGCACAACCCAGGCAGGAGACAGAGCTGACTAGTTCTCATGTTGGGCAGATAACCCAAGCTGTTGGTTCCACACAGACACTGAACTCACCCACTGCCAACACAGTGAACAAGCCGACCTTGTGCTTCAGGAAATAAAATTATTATAACAATAGTGAATAATGAATAATATCAACAAAATGCAAATTTAAGGTTTTGCAGAAATATTGAAAATCGAATGATAACTGAAACATGCAACTTTAGAAAGAAGGGATTTCTATTATTTGATTGTCAAACCATGCGATAGTGTCTGAAGACCAACAAAGTAAAAGTAAGCTTAAATGAACACAATTACAATGAATTTTTTTTTTCCACAGACATACCAAGTAACCAACCTTATTTTGTTTTAATTTTTATAGCAAGCACGTGTTGGAGTTCATACAGACTTAATCAGAGTTAGATCAAAAAAGCCATGTATTCACCCTTTGAAAAAATCACTGGCCTTTAAGGTGTCAAAGCTGGGCATACAAATAGACCTCTACAGGTCACTTAAAAAAAAAAATTAAGGCTGCAATGTTTTTGGTATGTTGCTTGTAAGTTTTCCAGGGATTATTAAAGTGGGAATTGTTGAAAGTCAAAGCCAATACAACTCTACATAAAATCTCTCTGTGAATCATACTTTAATCTTCACAAATTGTGAAGAACTTTACCTGTTGCTAGATAAATGGGGTGGTGGTTTGCTGGACTCCACGCCTGGACAGCTGTTCGCTCGATTTCCTTTAGCTTCATTTTCTAGGCTCTAGAAGAAATTTCACGCAGTGGTTAGAATAGCCAGATAAAGTCATCACAAAAATAATCACACCAGTAACAAAATATCCCCCTTACGAAGGTACCGCATGAACAAATTGCTCACAATAGAGAGATGTTACTTGTTACTTCCTGAGCTAGTGAATACAGTTTCACAGGAATGAATTAGGGTATTTTAGAATTCATGAAAAAAATCCAAACAATCCCAGCTGTCTGATCCCAGATTTTCTTTCATATATAGCTCTCTTTTTCATAAACCCCAATTACAGGAGAGTTTCAGTGAAAGGAAGGGGATCTAAATTAAGCAACATACTCAAGTCTTCAGTCCAGGCTGGTTTAAATCAGCTGCAGATATTAAACAAATGTATTTGCAAAGCACTAGTTGCTGTCTCTGAACAAGCTGATGCCAGTATATACATAGGCAAAAAGGGAGCAGAATGAATCTCAGGGCAGGGTAAATTCCAAGCAGAAAAGTGACGTGGCAACAGAAAACGAAGTGCAATGCTATCACCTGCCAATTCAGTTAATGTACTTTGTTCTCATCCTCTGAGAAGTGAAAGGAAAAAAATCATTTGACTTCCTGCTTGAGTTTGTAAATGGTAGAAGGTGAGAAGAAGACATCCAGAAGTAACTGCTGGGTTTCAATCTCAGCTCTGACAACAGTTCTTTTTATTTGCTCTGGATAGATCAACTGACACCTGTAAAATGGGAACACATCTTCCCCATGTCACTGGAGAGAGATTAGCTGGGCATTAATGTAGTGGGATAATTGCAAGTCAAACAACAGCAGACAGCCAGGAGGTTGCACAACTGAATATAAATACAAATTATTGTTCCATGTAGGATCCCGTTCTTGCTGAGGAGAAAGCAACCAGCACTTCTCCATCCCAGACTACGCCCAGGCCTTCTAGGCATGTCAGTAACACAAATGATGTGTGGACATATCATTCACAGGCTAGCGAGGTCACCCTCATAAGTGGTTCCTAAACCTTTCAAGCTTGGTTGCAGTGCAGTCTTTTAACTCTAGCTAAACAGAGCTGCTAACTATGCACTCAGATGATATCATGCTGAATAAAGTAAACTGTCAGCAGGCAGCACAGCAAAACACTGTGCATCCTGCCAGTTCGCTGTGATTAACCTTTCCTGGTTACTTGACACTGTTTGCATTAGCTGGGCTGACAGTTAAACCACAGTTTGCATCCATGGCCCTCTCCAGATGCAGGGCTTACTCAGGCCAGAGTATGGATGTTTATTTGTAACCAAGTTCATAAAGGTAGCTTGCTGTGGCCAGCCCACTGTCTGGCCAAACCATCCAAAAAAACCAAACCAGTTTTGAAAAAGCCTTCTGTCATCTTGTGGTTTATATGAAGCTATGGCCTCCTGAGGCCCACACAAAGGGAAATCTGGTCAGTATTACTTATTGGGCTTGGACCTCCTGGGTAATAACTCCACACTCTTTTAAGGGTTTCTTCTCCACAGCCAGGCTGAAGCTAAGGACATCCTCTCTCTCTCCCAGCCCTATCAGGACATGCTGTTTGATTAGAATTTAATTAATGCTTTTTAGCATAAGTCTGCAGTAGTATCTCCCAAAGCTTGAAGTGCCTATTGCTGTTCTCACATTAACCTTGTCCCAACTTAGCTGAGGCCCAGTGAACAGAACTCTTGTACGATAAGACAAGTGCAACTATTTTCTCGTGCAGCCCAGGAACAGAGGTGGAAAGGTCATCTCCGCATCACCGTAACAGACCTCTAAAGCTCACTTTCCTATCTTCCAGCACACAATTTGCAGAGTACTTGTTAGGGCTCCATCACATTCTCTCTGCCAAGAAGTTCCAGTGCCTATTCATCTGTCTCCCATACTAGCGCACGAACACTGTCTGGGTCTCCTCTATTCAATGAAAACATCCCCAGGAGGAGTCAGGTGAGCCTGCTGGCAACAGCCTACTGCACAAAGCACCACTTGACTCCACTGATGTGGGGGAGCAGGACAGCTGGTATGTTCCTTACCAGTCCCTTTCTTGTCTCTTCCTCCTCCAGTTACAATCCATCAATTGCAGGAGCTGGCTGTACATACAGGCCTCAATGCTTCTTGGCTTTTGAGAGGGTAACTCCCCTGTGAACATTATTAGACAGTGGCCAAGAGACTTCTTCCCTCTAGTAAATTAACTGGTAAGGAAGCAATGAAGAGCCCAACCACCACAAACTTAGCCAGGTGAATGGTACAAGCTCCCACTCCTTACCCTCTGTGCTGGACTGACTGCATGGCCAGCACAATTTCCATTCAACACACAAACAAAGACAAGCCACAAAAAATGTGCAGAACAGTATTGATCAATTGTCAGCTTTTCTTGTCAATAGAGCATTTTGCATAAGGAAGTCAATGTTACTATTCTCTTTTCACAAATTTAAGTCAGGACAGAACGTGAAGGTAAAGTGTCTTGGCTGTGATAACTCACCCAGACATAGGAAAGCAAACAAGGCACCATTTAGAGTGGCTCAATATCAACAGAACAACTGTAGGTATTGAACAGGTACACTGTGTCCCTGATCCTCAAGGCAAGGCAGCAGTAGCGCCAACAGACTTGAGAAGGCCCACAGGAGATGCATAAGAAGCCAAGATCACAGTATCACACCATCTCTTAAGCACCTCCTACCAGTTTGGCTCCATTACAGCTGAGGTTCTGCAGGGATGCAGCAGCACCTCCTCCTTAAATCAGTTGGCTCTGAGTTTGGAATGGAAAAAAAAGCCTGATTTGAGTCTTAGTCTTAGAGAAGTGATTGTTCTATACACTGTGCATGTCCGTATCCAGGACAGGACTCAACAATCCTTAAAGCCGGAAAAAGCCCTTCTTTAGCAACCTCTTGTGGCTGCCTGAGAAAAATTCACAAACATCGGACTCTTCCATAGGAGAATTTTTAGGGAGCCATTGCCACATGGTGTCATCTCCCAAAATAGCATCTAAGACTCCTGAGAAAGCTCATGCTTTTCTCAGGACCTCTAATTAATTAATCATGACAATTCCTCCTCCTTCTACTGACATCCGATTACAGAGCTAACGTTATTAACAAACCTCAGCCCCAAAGGGAGCCACAGGACAGAAGCAGCATTTCCCCACAGCCTCCCCCTGCCATGGTTTCCTGCACAGTGTCCTTAAAAGGTAACACTGTCTGCAAAGCAAAACCGGGCAGGTCAGAGCACTCCCCACCACTGGGAAACAGAGAGCACGCACCTAAACAGTGAAAAGCAAAAGCACATGCTCTTAAACCATGACAGACCATGCAGGCAATGCTGACAGAGGCAAAAATTCCTCACCTACACTAACTTGAAATACTTGTGGCTTAGAATATATCCTAAAAGACTGTGGTTGTTGTATCAGCTAATTGACCCTCAAAGCTGCCATGATAATCATCCCAGGTATCACTCTAGTAAGGCCTTCTCTCTCTTGTACCACCCAAATACTGTCAATCAGAAATCCCCTCCTACCAATTTCCCCAATCCTCCTCCCACCACTGGGCACCCAACCATTCCTCTTTGAACAGTTCCTGCTGATACTGGACTTCCAGCACAGCACACAAAGGAGCTGATAGCCTGATCTCCCTTAGCTAAAGGTGAAACTTGGGCAGAACAGAAAAGACTTGTCCAAGGTCACCCGTGTGACAAGCAGCCACCCTAAGAATTGAAAAAGGCCTCACAGCCATGACACATGCGTTAAGACGTAAACGTCCCAGCATCGATTTGAAATGTTTGTACTGCCCCTTCCCTTTGCATTGCTCTGACGCTCTCCCTTCACAGCTGCCCAATGTCCGATAGCCAGGCTGTTCTCATAAATTCTTATTATAAACCCCGATTACAGAAGGCACAGAGACACTAATCTCAGCTAATCGTTGGCGTTTGCAAGGCGGGGTTGTTGCAGGGCAGGGCTCAGCACATTCCTCCATGACAGCTCCCATGGTACATAAAGAAACTTCCTGTGCTCCAAGTACTTTCAAAAGCTATTGCTAAGTGCCACAGCACTATGCAGACGGCAGTGTGTACACACGTACCTAGCCAGCTTGCTCTGCACAACGGCGTTACACCGTGTGATAGTCAAAAAGAGGGAAGGTCTGGGAAGAAAGCATTGGCCTCGGACACCGGCTGTCACAGAACAGGCTCTCGGCTGCGCCAGAGGCCCCTCCGCGGCCCGGGTCAAACAGCCTAG